TGAAATTATGCAATGGTGTTCTTGGCATGTTGTATGAAGATTTTGACAGTCCATTACTTAGGAAAACCTTTGATGGATTATGACTTAGTCTTTGACTTCATGTGCATTTACCATACATGTAACGGATTTGATAGTCCATGACTTAAGAAAAATGTTTCATACTACACCCTAGTTTAGGTAGATGAATCATACCAATCTTTGATGGATTATGCTTAACTCTTGAATGTATGAACTTCTTGAAGATATTGTAGTTATCATGCATTTTTACATATTATGGTTGTATACATAGTTAGTCCCCAAGTTAATTGCAATTAAATATATTTATGAGGCTTGTGGTGAAGTCACCTCCCTAGCCTTTTTCTTTCTAAGTTTAATCCATTTGAATTCATTTTATTCACTGCTTTTATGCAATTTTAATTTATAACTCTAAGTGACAAACAAATTAAACCATCATATCTTTTATCAAACTTAAAGTAATTTTACAACTTTGTTTGCCATAAACTAGCAATCCTTGTGATTCGACAAACCTTTATAATAGCCCTATTTTACATTTATTTGTGCTATTGCAAGTGGTTATTTTAATTGGTAAACAAATATCACATATCAATTTAATATGAAAAATGGTGTTTGGGAATTGGTTAAATTCATTATTCTAATTTCATTATTCAGTGTAGTTGTAAAATGTTTGAATCTGTGGGCTTGTTGTGTCGACATAGTTTAAGGATATTGAATCTTAATGCCATAAAAAAATATTCCAAGTGAAAATATATTGACGAGGTGGGCAAAAGGTGCAAAGGAAGGGATTATCATTGATGAGTATCGCGAGCCATCCCAGAAGGCGGTATCATCATCAAAGACAATATTCTTGAATAAGCTCATTTGCAAAGCTTTTAGCGTTATAAGTTTAAGTGCATATGATGAGGAAACATTTGCAATTGTTAATGGCCATCTAGACCAAATTGTACAAGAAGTCTGAAAGATTAAATCAAGGAATGTGATGGATAGTTGTGATTCTGATAGAGTTGATGTTGTGAATGAAGTAAATGACTCAATTGGTGAAAAAGTGGTGTTAGATCCTCTACGTATGAGGCCAAAAGGGGTAACATATGGTATGCTTAAGGGCTGTTTGGAGAAGCGAAAGAAAAAGGCAAAAAAAAGGGTAACAAATTCCCAAAGAGAAGATATTTCACATGTCCCTGCCGACTCTCAACAAATGAGTTCTGACTCCCACAATCAGGTACAATATAGCACAACGTGTATGTGTAGTCATATAGAGATTATCTTATAATAATTATTTATTTGTTAGGTCTATTTGTCATACAGGTTTTTGGATATCATAACAGCCCTTTTTGAAACTTTCAACAAATAAACTCTTTTTTGCCAAATTGGAGTCAGGTAATTTTTTTTTTAAAACTTAATTGTGTGTTTTAGTTAGACATAAAATTTTTACACACATCATTTTCATATATGTATTTATAGGTGTCATACAACAATGTTATACAGAATCAAACAAACCATAATTTTGATAACATTAATCAGGTATGAACTTTTCACATTCATTTTAAGCGTGAATAAATGTTTTAATTGTCTTTTATATTCTAACTTCTATGTTTTTTAATCATTTATGTTATTTTTGTAGCTGTCGAGAAATGATGCCATGGAAAATAGTGGGAATTCCTAAGAGCTATATGAGCATCTGTTCTATTCCTTTTGGCTTGATAATTCTATTTTTTTGGCTTTCCTGATTAAAAAAAAGTTCATTTTGCTCTTAGTTATGCTGCTCAATGCTTTTGCCCTTGGCTATGTTACTCAATGCTTTTGCTCTTGGCTATGCTGCTCAATAGTCCATAGATTCATAGACTTTGTTTTTGAAACGGAAGATGAACCCCTATTTTGTTGTACAAGATTCTTATTAATATAAATTATAGCTACAATGAAAATGTTTTAATTTTTTTTTTTTTTTTAGTTATGCAGCATTTTTTCTTTTTTCTTGTTTTAAGGATTTCCTTTTCTATTCCAAAAGTGTTTGTGTGCGCGTAAGTATGTAAGAGTGTAATTATGAAACCTTCAAGGAGATGGAAGGTTCAAATGATAGCTTCATGGACATTCAACAAAAACCTGGACAAAGGATTAGTTACAAAGCCAAAGTTTTGCTTTTCAAACACTGTTATGAGCTTGCTCTAGGCTAAATTTCTCTTAATACTAGTATATCTTCAAGCTAATGCTTAAATCTAGGTGCTATGGAGTTTTGTAGGCTTGAGATAGTGAGTGGTATATGTGTGTGTGTATATATATATTTGTTTTTTTCTTTTTTTTATTCGAAGCCCAAGTATTGTCTTCAGTATTGAAATGCCTTGTTGAATTGTTGTTTGGATGGAGAAAGTAAAGATCCTCAAATACTCCTTTATAGTGGTAGGTTAAGCCCAGTTTGTTATACATTTCCTTTCTTTAAAAAAATTTACGCACTTGCTACTCAGTATCATCCAAAAGAAAAGTGTTCATGAAGTTACATATAATTCAAAATAACAAAATAATACTTAATTATTTTTTCTATCACATATCATTCAAAATAACAAAAGAGGGGTGGCAATATATCTTTTTCCTTATTTCCTATCCTCTCTCAATATAGGAAAACAATACAAGAGAATTCATGCATTTCTTGTTGCAACAAGAAAGAAAAATCGAATTATATTACTCATAACCTTAGCTATTTGAGGGAGATATTATTGGATGGCCAAAGAACAATACAATAACATTCCTTTTTGTGTTCTTGCCTAGAACCTAAGGCTCCAAAGCCACACCACTATGGAGCTATAAGAGGTGACAATTGTGAGCGTTTTCTTGTTCTTGGAGGAAGGTGAGATTTTGAACTTTGAGCACACCATAGAATTAGCCATTGCAGGGGATAAGTATTCTGGATTTGCATTGCAAGTAATTTCATCCCACAACTATAATCAACAAGGTGCCATTAGACTACTATGGTGCTAAACCTGGGCAATTTACTTCTTCACCAACAAATATGATTTAAGGATGGGACTAAAGTTCTTGAATATGATAACATGGATGCCACCTACAAAAGCCAAACTTTTTATGCAATTTTTTTTTTGATACAACCATAGAATTAAACACAAACCCAGAATAAATATTGTAACCAAACTATAGATTTTGAGATTTGAAGAGTGATTTAAGAATAGATTAGGATACATAATTGGCTTATACCAAAAAGTCACCATCATAGAGGTGCATTGGATTGGCATCACACTTAATTATGTTGCAGTGTATCTTATTAAGAATAATTGTCCACCCCCTGCCCCCCCATATTTCAAGTGCCTCTTTTTATTTCTCATGCAATGATTAAAAATCATAAAAGGTAGTAATAATCCAATTCAATAATTGAGGGTTTAAAGACTTCAAAAATACTTGTCAAAAGAGAATTGTATGTCATACAAAAAAATAATAATTACTGAGTATTACCATTCTAAACTCATTAGTGAAGAACAACTAGTACAACCATCTATCTTAAAAAGGCTTTCTGTAGAGGAATGAAGCCAAAAGAAGAGAGATTTCTAAAGAGAGAAAGCAAGACAGACTGAACCATCGGTGTTTCCACCCGTTTCCCAAACTAGCCAATCCCAAACTGCAACCCGTAGTCACTTCCACCACATCAACACTACCAATGAAAGATATGTCATCAATGGCGATTTCTGCACCAAAAACTTCTAGGGGAAATACACCAAACGGATGGGGTAATGTCTATAGACGGACTGGTGTATGTATAACGAATTGGTAAGAGAGAGAACGACTCTGGTGAGAGATGATTGGGATTTTTTTTATGAGAAAGGAAAGAAGAAAAGGGGATGAAATGCTGAGGAGAGATTTTAGGCATTGGTTGATTTTGTCTCAAAATAGATTCTTGGAATTGATTAATTTTGAAATCAAAATTTGAACTTAGAAAGAGAATTTTATCCAACGGGAAAACGAAATTAGAAAGAGAGAGAAATTTATCCAAGCGGGAAAACAAAATCAGAAAGAGAGATAACGTCTGTTTCTCTTCGTTAAATTCTTTCACTTGTCTATGCTAACATGGCAAGTTATATTAATATCTGACATGACAACTTATATAAAGAGCTCATATAAGTTGATTATATAGTTTAGTCCACCAAATAAGCAATTTGACGTGGTGGACTAGGACCATGCAATAATTTCTCCCAAGCTAGAGCCATTGTAATTAGGGATATAAATTTAATCCGTGGGCTGGTCTTTGCTCGTCTCGCCCCTACTTGGGACATGAGGTTTTGAGATTATTCTAATCGATAGATTTGAAAAAATAATTTAAAATCCGTAAAATTTTGATTAATAATTAATATATCAATAAATATTTCTTCTGATAATTTTAAATTTTAACAACATTTTTGTTTGTATAAATTTAATCCACGGGTTGGTCTTTGCTCATCTCACCCCTATTTGGGACATGAGGTTTTGAGATTATCCTAATCAATAGATTTGAAAAAAAAATTTAAAATCCGTAAAGTCTCGATTAATAATTAATATATAAATAAATATTTCATTCTTTATTTCTTCTGATAATTTTAAATTTTAACAACATTTTGTTATTATGATTGTTAAATATTTGACTATGCTACTAAAAATTTACAAAATTTATTTAAATTTTTTGAAGTTTGAATTATAATTATTTTTTTTTACCAACGGGCAGTGGCCTAACGGTATCAGACCCTTACCTTACAAAGAGAGGTCAAGGATTCAAGTCTCTATGGAGGTATGTGTGTGTGAGTATCACCTATGAAAAAAAAAAAAAAAAAAAAAGTTTGAATTATTTTTCAAGTTTATCCGGTAATGTTCTATATTCTAGGCTTTGTGTAGCTGGGCATTCAGTTCTGGCCCTTTGGGCCTGAGTCTCAGGTCCCTTTTTTGTTTGCATACTATAATTATTTTATTTTTTAATAAAATTTATTGGAAAAAAAAAAAAAAATTACAGTTCCATTCTGTCTTTCCAGACGTATACTGTTGCGAAGACCATGAAAGATAAGAGTGAGAAATTAGTGAGAGAGTAGAGAGAGAAACTCAGGGAGAGAGAGCATCTTCATTGTTGAAGATGATATCCAACGTTTCAACCACATTCGATTTTACTCAAATTCAAACACCATTTTGTCCTTTTAAAACCCTAATTAATCCATTTCTGCTTTCTTCTTCCAGACATGTTTTCAGAAGAAAATTACCGTTCAAGTCCAACATTCAACTTCTCACTAAATCCAGCAAACTTAATATTATGGCTTGTGAAGCTTCAACTTCGAGTTCGAACTCGCTCGTATCTTCAGCAACTCAAGAAGATGACACCGAGTCAGCCCAGCTATTCGAGGTGTGTTTCAAGTTGAATTTTTGCACTTATATTTATGTTATCAGAAACGCAGTGTTTGGTTGCTGGGAAATCTTAGTAAAAAAGAAAGAAAAATTGAGTAGTTCTTCTGTTAACGTGGTTGTCTGAAGAAAGCTTGGGTGGTTCTGAAATTTATACATTTCATTTATAGTGAACCTGTTCATAATTATGCTACAGATATGTATGTTTGGCTTTGAAAATTGTGAAATTAAAAAACCCTTTTTCAATTTTAAATCATTAATTCAAAATTGTTTAAATGTTAATACCCAGAATTTAAAATTGGGAAATGACCTATAGGCGCTTAATTATCAATATTATTGTATTCAGTTACTCTAAGGGACGAAGCAATCAGGCTATGACCTTAGATAGAGTGGGATGGAAAAATAGGATTCATGTAGCGACCCCAAGTAGTTGGGGAAAGGGATTTGTTGAATTGAGTTGAGGATAGGGAATGGATCAGTTGTGTGATAGAACTTGCAGATTGTTGTAGAATTGCAACTGTACTTCAGCTGTTCGGCTGCATGGAATTGGAATTGGTGGAATTGGAGGAAAGCAACTCAAAAAAATTGAACAAAAATTTTCTCCAATTCCACCAATTCTAATTCCAAGACTCTAATTCCATGCAGCTGAACGTGGCCTTCATTCATTTATACTTAGGGTTGTCCTGGAAAATAAGGATCTAATAGCTTGTGTTTACTTGTGCCGCTGTAGATTTATATGCTACTGATGCTTATGATTTCTTGAGGTCCATGCGAATTTTCTTTTTGTAATTAATAGATGTTGAAAATTTGCATAAAGAATTTTGAATTTTTGATATTTGATTTTAGATTTATATTATGGATATTATTTTTTAGTCTTTGGTCTTATATGTTTTTTTAGAAGCTGAAGGATGCAGAAAGAGAACGGATAAATAAATTAGAAGAACTTGAAAGAAAGGCAAATGTTCAGTTAGAGAGGCAGCTTGTGATGGCTTCAGAGTGGAGCAGGGTATTGTTGACTATGCAGGGAAAGTTGAAGGGAACAGAGTGGAACCCTGAGAAATCGTACACAATTGACTACAGTGATTTTTTGGGACTTCTTAACTCAAATAATGTCCAGTTTATGGAGTACTCAAATTACGGTCAAACAGTAACAGGTAGGAATTCTTCTTCATGGGCAGCTCTTTTTCTTTTGTTGATTTGCATGTCGTGGTTTTGGTGACAAAATGTATGACAACTAGTTTGCTTCTTACTTGGGAATAAACAGATATTGAGAGAATGTTTTCTTTGCTAGCCAATGTGCGTTCAACAGTATCTCAATAGATTCTTATACCATTGCTTCCTGCGCAGCTCTTGTTTTTGAATAATTGTTAGTGGTCCCATGTGTAAAACTTTGCAATAAGTACGGATCCTTTTTATGTAACTTATGGGATTATTATTCCTTTTTCATATATTTTATTTAGTAGTGTGGTTTTGATGTAGGACAGTTTTATGGACTTTTTCTTGGAACTGGTCATCATATCAATTCAACCCGAGGAGACCCATTTCCAATTGGAAACGACCCAATTAGCAAAACCCACTAGCTAAAGCTAGTGGCTCATGTAGCTTTTCAGCCAAATTCAGTCGTTTAGGATTTTGAAATCACGCCTTTTAGTCCTATTGGGAGACTGCCCAATATTTTGAGATTTTTGTGGGAGGTCTAATGAACTCAAATTGTTCTGAAATTTAATAGTTATCTTAGTTTAATGATTATGATGTTATCTTTATTTTATCATAATTTATAAGAAAGAGTTTCAAATTTTACTATTTTTAAGTTTCCTTCTGTTTTAGGAGTTCTCTACTACAAATACATGTATTGTAAGAGCAGGGATATACAATAAACTCAGTTATCACTAATACGTCAGATTTCTCTGCAATTTTTTTTCTGAACTCTGTGGATCCAAAGCTGTTTATCGTTCATTTGTGAACTTTCATAGCTTCCACTTCGTCAGGTTTGCACTTTTTTCTTTTTATTTTATTTTTTAACCATAAATAAATTTTATTAAGAGGAATTATTTTTGAAATAGATAGTATCCTTTCTATGCTGGAGAGCAAAGGGGTTAGAGCATACCTGTATTATGGATACCAGTCAACATGTTGCCACTATCATCAATATGTTCAATCTCTTTGCATTTCAATGGGTTCCACAGCTAAAATAGACTCTAAAAAATCTACTGACCCTTGACATACATCTATCATGCACACGGTTCTCAATATTATTAGCATGGTGGGGTTGTTTTCTTACTAATTGTAGGAGTTGTAATGCTTGTAGTGTTAGCTGGAATTAGTTTGTGTGGGAGAGTTTATTCCTGATTTTGTGCTTTGTTAGTCTCTTTGTAGTTTTTTTTTTTTTTTTACTTTGTTATTTCTGATTGCCAATTTCTGGAAATGGGCTTTCTTAGTTTTCTATTAGACAGGTACTCCTCTCTTCTCCTTGTTTATTTGGTTGTTTATTAATAAAATGTTACTTAGGGAAAAAAAAGAACGGGTACCAAGGATAGTTTTGTAGACTAAGGATTGGTAATTTTTTTTTTTTGATAAGTAAGAATATAATAGAAGGCGTTCAAAAGGCGAACGCATCCCACGAACTATACAAGAGCCGAAGCCAAAGAAAAGGTCCCTAGGAACCCAAAAATTCAACAATTTTATCTATAGATATACAATTTCTCCCCATCAGCCAACAAAGAAAATAACTAATAATATGGAATTTCAAAACTTCAATGGAAGAAGATTCCTCCCTTCAAAAGATCTACTATTCCGCTCCTTCCAAATACACCACATCATGCAAAGGGGGTCTGCCCTCCAGAAATCCCAGGCGTGGGCCCCCACGCTGCAACCCCTCCAAGCATCAATCAAAACCCTCAATGACCGAGGCATAACCCATTGGACTCCAAACAAACCAAAGATAAGGTTCCAAAAGTCGTGAACCACGGGACAATTCAAAAGAAGGTGATCCACGGTCTCTCCATCACTTTTACACAAACAACACTAATTGATAGTATTCTGTCTTCTCTTTCTCAGATTGTCCATGGTCAAAATCTTACCTCAAGTTGCAGTCTAAGCAAAGAAAGCCACTCTGAGAGAAGCCTTCGCCAAACTGTTTTCCAAGGAAAATCGGAACCAAAAAAATCGAAAAGGCACATAAACATGGAGCGGACTTCATACCTCTCCTGAGTAGAGGGCACCCAAAGTAAAACGTCATTGCCTCTGCCTTCCACCTCCTGTCTATATAGAAGATGTAGTAGGCCACATACCTCATCCACCTTCCAATCTTGAAAAGAACTTTAAAACCACACATCCCCTATCAAGCTAATAACGGTTAGCCACTTGGACATGTCTATCAACAGGAATCCTGAAGAGTCTTGGAAAAGAACAAGACAATGGGCGATCACCACATCATAAATCCTCCCAGAACCGAACCCCTTTGCCGTCCCGAATTATGAATCTTATGTGTTTAGAAAATTCATCCCGTCCCTTTCGAATAAATTTCCACACATCCACACCCACACTACCAGCACTAGAAACTGGACTAGAGGACCACCCACCTCTCTTCTCCCCAAAACGGCATGAAATAACCCTCCTCCAAAGACGATGTCGTTCACTGCCAAATCTTCACAACCACTTACCAAGGAAAGCCCTGTTAAAGGGGACTGACCTCCTAATACCAAGGCCACCCAGCTGAATAGGCCTGCAAACTTGCTCCCAACGGACAAGATAATACTTGAACTCCTCTCCCCACCCCAAAGGAAATTCTGTTGAATCTTCTAAATCGTTCTAGCTATTGAGGACGCCATCTGAAAGAGAGACAGAAAGTATGTAGGGAGACTCGACAACATACTCTTCATGAGAATAAACTTCCCCCCCTTCAACAAATATTGCTTGTTCCATCCAACCAATCTCTTCTCAAACCGCTTGATCACAGGATCCTAGCCTCCCACCCTCCTCGACGAAGACCCCAAAGGCAAACCCAAACAAGAGATAAGAAAAGAGCTCACCCTACAAGCGAGAACCACAGCAAGAGAAGCAATATCCTGAACCTTCCCAATCGGGACAAGCACATTCTTCCCCACATTAACCTTTAGACCAGAAAGTTAGAAACCGCCTGGAAACACACCAGAACACACCTCAAGTATCTCAATTGGGACACACCAACATTGCAGAAAACTAGAGTATCGTCTGCAAACAATAGATGAAAGATTTCTATCTGATGGACTGAATCTCTACCCACCCTAAATCCCTGATAAAACCTAGATCCACTGCCCTCCTCATCATCCTACTAAGGGCCTCCATGACAATGAGGAATATAAACGGAGAAAGAGGATTTCCCTGCCTCAAGCCCCGAGAACTACCAAAAAAACCGATAGGAGGCCCATTCACCAAAACTGACAGAGGAAATACAAGCCTCTATCCATCTCCTTTATCTCTCTCCAAAACCCAATCTCCCTAGCAAATACAACTGGAGGCTTCAACTAACATGATCATAAGCTTTCTCAATGTTAAGCTTACATAGAACTCCAGGGACACCATTCCTCAATCTGGAATCCACACACTTGATGGCAATAAGAAAGGAGTCCAGAATCTTCCGGTCACCAACGAAGGCGTTCTGAGACTCTAAAATGACCCCATCCAAAACCTCCCTCAATCTCATAGCAAGAACTTTGGCAATTAGCTTATAAATGCTGATGCAGCAGCGGGTAGGGGCGATTCAAGAACATAATTCAAGTAAATAAGAAAGATGTTAAGATAGAGATTGAGAGAGAAATAGAAAAGAATAATAGGGGAAGAAATCAAAATGAGGGAGAAGAGAAGAATAACAGAGGGAGAAATTAGAATTGAGGGACAAGAAACCACAATAATTTCTGAATAATAATCAATAATCAATCATCAAAAGTTGTCTTTCACAATGTCTAAACCAACATATAAATAGGCATCGAAGAAAAACCCTAAAATTCCTATTACCATAAATAAAATGGAGGAAGTTTCTGTTTTTTTTGGATACGTTGTATAGACAGAAGGATATTGGCAGAGGGTGTGATGATATTTTGTGGGTTCCTTTAGCTCATGGTCAGTATGGTGTCCACTCTATGTTCATCTGTTTGTCCAATTTCGTTGGTCCTGAGTTCCCTTGGAAGTCTGTCTGCGCTCTAAAGCTCCTCTTCGAATTGCATTCTTCGTTTGGACTGCCACATTGGGGAGGATTTTGACTTTGGACAATTTGAGAAAGAGAGGCAACATCATTGTTAATTGGTGTTGTTTATGTAAAGTTGATAGTGAATCCGTGTGTCACATTCTTTTGCATTGTCCTGTGACGTTTGATTGTTGGAGTTTTATTTTTAGCATGTTTGGCGTGTTTTGGGTAATGCCTAAGCACTCCTCTCAATTGATTAACGGTTGGAAAAGGTGTCCTGTCAAAGAACAAGCTCGGGATTTTTGGAAGATTGTTCCACATTGTGTTTGGTGGTGCTTGTGGCGTGAGAGGAATAACAGATCCTTTGAAGGAAAAGAATCGTCTTTAGCTACTTTAAAAATTCATATTCTTCGTTCTCTATTCTCTTATGTAAGAGGAAGTGCATGCTCCTCGATTGATGATTTCTTTGATCTCTTGGATTCCATTGGTCCTTGGACCTTTTTTATTCTTGTATTAGGGACATGTTCCCCTTTTGAACATTTTTCTAATATATTTTTACTTATCAAAAAAAAAAAAAAAAAAAAAAAAAAAAAAATAGAAAAGCAAAAACCCTAATTCTATCTTTCTTTTCCACGTCTCCAATAGTAGGTGTGGGCCATATGGACTTCAAGCTCTCGGGCTAGGCCCAGTTCTCCATCAAATGCACCCCGACTTATAGGCCTAAAATCCTTAACATCGGAAGCACCACCCGTCTTAGAAATGAGGGTGATAAAAGATGTATTCAACGACCTCTCGAACCGCCTATGAGAGTGGAACTCATGAAAAGTGCCCATCACATCACTCCTAACCATCTACCAGCTTTCCAACAAAAACCTCATAGTAAAACCATCCGGACCTAAACCTTTGTCACCATTACAACTTTTGAGCGCCTTCAACATTTTCTCCTTGAAAAAGGAATCTCGAGCCCATCCCTATCCAACTCTGAAATTGCATCAAAATGAAGACCACCAAGCCTAGATCTCCACCGAAGAGGCTCAGAGTAAAGCCTCTGATAGAAGGAAGCAATCCCCCTACACACCTCCTCCTCCCTACACAACTCCACCCCATTCACACAAATCCGCTCGATATGATTACCCCCCCGAGGGCATTTGCAACCCTATGAAAGAACTTTGTATTGCGGTCTCCCTTTTTAAGTCATAAAGCCTTAGATTTCTGTCGTCATGAAATCTCATCCATAATAGCAATCTCAGCAATCTTCGCCTGACAGTCAGCTCTCCTTGTGCGCTGAATCTCCATAATACCACCCACCCCTCCAGCTGATCAATCTCTTAAGCTCCGTCTCGAGGAAACAAAGTTTCCTAGCCAAAACCAAACTCGGGGTACCAACCACCGTAGCCTCCTCCCACCAAAACCGAACTCTCCCCTGAAAATTCTCCGCTCTAAGTCACATATTCTCAAATCTAAGCGGGATACTTCGGGATCTCAAACCCCTACAATCCAGGACCAACGCAAAGGTCACCCTAGCCAAAGCTGCCTAAACAACATCCGGGAATTTCTCCTCTTAGTCCCCAGAAATAAGGAATCTGTCCAGCCAAGAGAGAGTGGGCGAATCCCTACTACTGGACCAAGTAAATGGCCGCCCCTTCTAACGGTAAATCAATGAGAGGATGGCCATCAATGAATACCGAAAACTGTTTCATAGCCGAAGACCACCTCCCACCTATAGATCTCTTTGTCGGGGACCTAACTGCATTGAAATCCTCACCCACACACCAAGGAAGAGACCACAACCCTTTCACGCGACTGAGCTCCTTTCACAACAAAGGTCTATCTCCGTCATCCACCGCCCATAAACCCCAGAAAAGATCCATCTGAAACCATCCTCCTCCAACACACAGACACATGAAATAGAGAACCTCCCTCTCCAGATGTCCACCCTCGACAACCATCTTCTAATCCACATGACGAGAATGCCTTCGGAAGATCCTGTAGCATCCAACGCCTCCCACTCAACAAACCTTCCTCCTCATAGGCTCCTGATGACCCTATCCGATACTGAAGCAATCTTTGTTTTTGAAGGCACACCACATGAGCTCCCCATATTCTCACTGCCAACTTCACCACCTCCTTGTTATCCGGGCGTTGAGACCGCGGATATTCCAAGAAATGATTCGTAGCTTCATGAGGAAACAATGCCGTTCACCTTCCCTTTACCCCTCCCTCCACCCCTCATGCTTCCCCTCTCCCTCTCCATCCCCTCCTTCCCCTCATAGTTGACATAAGAGATAAGATTCCTCACCTCCCTCTCCCCTTTCCAAGAAGGGTGATTCCTTCTTTTTCAACCCCCCTTCTAGGCTTCTTCTTCAAGTCCCCTTCTCGCCCCTCCACCGTCGCATGGAGAATCGACAAGGACTGCCCTTTGTTTCCCTCGAAAGAGACACCCAACAGTTCACTCATAACACCTATATTCTCTTTCACCCAGTCCTTACCCATCCTGCTTCATAACATCCATCTCCAATCCTTCCGGTCACACCACAGCCAAGGGGTCAACCACCCCCAAAATTGGATGATCCTCCTCCGCCCACATAGTTATTAAAAGCCCAAGGCGCACCGAGGCGCTAAAGGTCCCTTGGAGCCTAGGCGCGAGCCTGAGTGATGTGAGGCGCACAAGTAAAATTTTAAAACAACAATTCTTAACAAAAATAACACAATTAAACAATGAACATCCAATAATAAAAACACTAAATTAGTCTAAATATATCACAATTAAATCAATAAAGCAACTAGAAAAATAGAACAATTAAACTAATAAAGCTATTTATTCATAAGAAAGATTCAAAAAAAGCAAAACATAAACCAATTAACCATATATTATAAATTTATACTTGATGTCTTAAGCAAAAGCTATCAAGTGGTCCAACGTGCTGATCCATCTCCACACTTCCTGCACCACCCCCCAGCCCCTCCTTGTCATCAACACATGAAATCCAGTCGATGGAACTATCCCACCCACCCTCTGATTTATCCAGCTGAGTGTCCGTAGCATTGTTAATCATATCATCTGACAAAAAACTGTGCCTTTTCAGTTCCTTGACCAGCAAAGCAGCCGACTCATTGCTGAGGGTGATACGGATATCCTTGCCAACACAAATAGTCATCCTCTCTGAACTCCCATACAAACCATCCCTCTGTGGCCTCAACACAGTCCCACAATCAGCTCTGCACAGACCAGCACTCTCATCCCTTCTCAAATGAACAGCGTCCCCAAATCCCTACCAGAAGAAGAAGAAGACGGAACAGAAGAAGAAACATCTGAAAAAAATCCTGCATCCCCCATGCTATTCAGGTCATCGTCCTTCCCTGACGTCACATCCCTTTCTGACAGCCCAGGACCCCCATACCTGATTGGACTATTCTCAATCATCTCTTCCTCAAAAACCGCCTCTACTGCAGGTGAAAGCATTCGAGACACCACTGACAACCCATCATTCTCCTCCCCCACTGCACTCCTTAACACCCCACAAGGAGGAGTAGAAGAAGGAGCAGACAGAGAGCCCTGAGAGTAGAGAACAGGGGACATACCAGGTTCAAAAACAGTGTTATTGCGAGCAACCCAATTTGAAGCAAGTATTCAGTTATAAATATTTGCATTATTTGACCTAATATGAATTCCGTGTCTTAATTTGTTATCAATCTCCCAACTCCTTCTTGGTTTTCCACCATCTTTTTTTATTTTGTTGTTTTTTGATAGTTGTGCTATGAACTGATGGAAAGTTATTGGTAACAGAAGGTCTTAACATTAGCATACACTGGATGGTTGTTCTGCCAGTGTTCAAACTTCGACTAATTGTATGGTATAGGCTGGTGAAAAGAAGGAATCCATTGTTTCTCAAATCACATCATCATGCATCTCCTTCACATTTGGTTTTTGACTTTTTGTTGTCATGCACCGTAACATTAACTGACTTAGATGCCAATTGTTTTCTAAAGCTTTTAAAAATGAATTTAGTTCTGGCGTCTTTCAGAGTTCCAGTTGGCAGATATTATTTGCATGACATCAGTCTCTTACAAGGTTTAGAACTTAAACTTTAGGTTTAACTCCAGCCTCTCTAGAATTTAGGGAAGAAGGAAGTCTGAAATTTTCACATAATATTAGTGAAGTGATACGAGTGAAAGAAAAAAAAAAAAAAAAGTAGTAAACCTGTAAGTGGTGTACTGGCATCTGTGAGTTTTTTTACGGGAGCCTATATGCGGAAATGTTATTTGAAGATAATGGCTTTTATCCTGCATTTTCCCTTCTTCCCTTCATATCTTCTTTATTGTCGACTTTTTTTTCCCCTCTCTCTCTCTCTCTCTATTTTTATGCTTCTGATAATTGCAGCTATTTATTTCTTTGTTTGTCAATCCGATATGTTTTACATGTTCTTTGATTTGCCTTTAAGTCATTGTCCCATAACTAGTTTCAGGACATTATTTTCTAAAAGTTCCCGTTGCTGTATCTATATGGTAGATCTGTTCTAATGATTCGACAATTTGATTGTCATCTGAATCATGTTACTCTTCTTGTGTTTTAGCCTTTGTCAATCTATTCATTATGACTGTTGGACTTGCTAGCATATTGCTTAAAACTTATTTCTTATTTCTTATTTTCCTGTCATCCTTAATTCTTAAAATTTCATGCTGAAAATTATGTATCTTTTTTGTTCTCTGTCTCCAGTTATTCTACCACATTCAAAAGATGAACACGAGCAAGGCGATTCCAAAGAGAAAATTGTGTTCAAGCGCCATGTGGTTGACCGTATGCCAATTGATTCTTGGAACGATGTGTGGCGGAAGTTGCATCAACAGCTAGTAAATGTTGATGTTCTTAATGTGAACACTGTTCCTGCAGAAGTCTATTCTACTGTTGCAACTGCAGTAGTGTGGTCTATGCGGCTTGCTCTTTCTATTGTACTATATCTCTGGATTGATAATATGATGAGACCGATTTATGCAAAATTAATACCTTGTGATCTGGGAACTCCTCCGAAAAAGACCAGGCAGCCACTCAAGCGCCGTGCTCTTGGATCATTAGGGAAGAGTCGGTAAGTGGAGAGTGATTTCTTTGTGATTTAACTGGTAGATGTGTATTTTAATTTTTTCCATATCTTTGGCAGCATGTTAATGTCATTCTTTCAACTTATTCACAACTATATATGCTATATTGTTAATAGAAAAAAGGAAAGAAACATTAGAAGTAGGGGGGAAAAAGGCTTCTTGTACTATATTTGAGAGAGAATCTGGAGGAGATTAATTACACCGCGCTGGAGTTAGTAACTGCTTTTATGTTCGTTAACAAGTTCTTTGCCAGAACTCTTGTATTTTATTACAGGATTTACATCAATCTAATAAAACTGCCTCCTAATGAGTGCGCAGGACACCTTTGGTTACTTGCATAGGAGAAAATGGCAGACGGATTCAGCCATTTACTTGAAGTTCTAATAAAATTTTTTATGCTCAATTTAGTTAGTGATAACTACTAAAGTAAATGTTATACAATGCACACTTCAGTTTGTCTTGACTTTTTATTTTATTTTTAGAGTTTATGTCTCTTTTGAGGATTGATGATTCTATAGGGTTTTTTTTGGCTTTTTAGCCTTAAAATCCTCAAAGAATATATGCAAGAAATTTTGATGTCAAATTTAGTTTTATCCATAAAGTTGAAAAAATTATTTGTGTTGAAGACGTCCTTCTACATGAAACACTTTCTTAATGATAACGCTCCCCACCACCCTGCGTTGTGGCTATTATCTCTTCTTTGTTCTTGTGTTTCTTAAGGCCTGTTATCATGACACTTATTTTTTATTTTTGTGGTGCTTAAGTTTTATTTGTTAGTTACTGAATTTTAAAAATATTGACATACTTGTATTATTTACACCTGACAATGCAAGGTTCTGTCTCAGTATAGTTTTACAGAGCCCATTTGGCCCAAACCTCTTGTTATAAGTTTGTTTCTTCTTTCAAACAGGCTAATGGGTTGACCAGGCTTGCAGAGAATAAAGATTAAGCTAGTATTTCATGTTTTGCAATATACTCTCAGTATTATATTCGTTTCAAATGCATCATGATCTGGATCATATTGCTTTCTCTGGGTGATGTGATTTATAACATCCCTTTTGGATAATTAAATGTCAGATTAGCTTTAATAAATTCAATAACAAGGACTAACATTCAGCTCTCCTAATTAAGAGCCAATTCCTTGTGTTATAATAGAACAATTCTGTCATGAGGTGCACCTAATGGCAATTGTCACGAGCTTTCCTTTAAATTGAAACGTTTTGCGTTTGCGAATGAATCAGATGTGTTGCTGGTATGAAATCTTCAATAATACTGTCCTATCATTAAAAAAAAAAAAAAAAAAAAAAAAAATTCAAAATACCTTGAAAGTTGAAAGCTAAATCTTGGAGAGAGAAGAATTGACTGTGTATCATTTCATCTTCCAAAGGATGATTACAATAGGTATATCTAATGTTCTCGAGAACATAAAATAAGGAAGGTGATAGGTGAGTGCAGTGCAAGGGATGTATCTAGACCTATTGTGTGTTTTGGTAAATACATCATGTGTAAAATATGAAAGCAGCAATCATACCCCTAATTAAGGAATAGTTGACTATGAGTTGTATTCATGACAATAATTGGTAAAAAAAAAAAAAGAATCCAAATGTTTAGCTAAAGTGTGTGAATACTGGAAATGGTTTTTGATTTGAAAATTGGACTGTATAATCTTTAAACTGTTCTATTTCAAATGGCCATGCATTAAATGTCACTTTCTTAAAAAGTTGAAATCACCATAAGGCACATTTAACTGGGAATTTGGGAGGGAGGAATTAGTATATTTTACATTCTTTTGGATGAATAAGTCCAGATGTTTATATAGGTTTTAGATGCTCTTTCTCTGCTGAAGAAGTGAGTTTTGTAGTTTTGAGTTGTTTGAGTGCTATTTTCTGGCCCTTCTATTTCTCTTGATTTTCAAGAACCTCTTATCCTCACTTTCGTACTCTTTTCCCACTTTTAAGTTTTAACCTCCATCTTCTAGTTCTTGTAAGAGAAATGTAAGGAAATGAAAGAAAAGCAGTGAGTTCTGTCATATGTATATACCAAAACTACCATGCTGTTTGCATCTTACTGAGAATTCTCATTCATCTTGTGATATGAACATATCCTGAAATATATTCTTTGATTTTTCACAGTGCTGTATGTTGAAATAAGCGCAGGGTTAATCCTTTGTTACTCATTGAACTGTCTATATTGTCCAACATTTTTATGCAGAGTGATATCTTTGAACTTGATCTTGATAAGCTATAATAACAATGTTGTCAATTGATGATTTCTGCCAATAAAGCATTTGGAATCTTATTGCTCCATCTTGTACTCCCAGGGCAAAATTCATATCTGCAGAAGAAACTACTGGAGTTACCTTCGATGATTTTGCTGGTCAGGAATATATAAAGAGGGAACTGCAAGAGATTGTTCGAATACTAAAGAACGATGAGGAATTCCAGAATAAAGGCATCTATTGCCCAAAAGGTGTGCTGCTCCATGGGCCTCCTGGAACTGGTAAAACACTTCTGGCTAAAGCTATCGCTGGCGAAGCAGGACTTCCCTTTTTTGCTGCTAATGGCACTGATTTTGTCGAGGTGAGGCCTGATTTTCTTAGGACAGTTCTTATATAAAATGATGAATTAATGAGAAAATGATCCTAACAGTTGCCACTCAAATGAAATATGCATCTTGGAATGCTGTCAGTCCTTTTGATAACTTGCTGAGGCTGCAGTTTGTCATAGCATCTCAAGGAAGCCAAAGGGCAGCTCAATCCGTTGGATGTCACTGTCTGAAAAACGAAGTCATCATTTCAACCGTTAGTAAAAGATTGAAACTAGTTGAATTTACAAAAGGGAGCTGATATTCATTCCACTTTCACCATTTGCACTCCGCTTGAATGTTTTTATAATTGAAAGGACTAAATATCCCTCAATATTGGAGTGCAATTGTCCTTTATCTAAAAATTATGGAGTGTGAATGTGGTTTTGAAGGATAATTATGTCGTTTCATTTTTTTTAAAAGCAAGAGGAGTGCAAATATCATTATACTTTACAAAATCTTAAAAATTATCATCTTTGTTAGGATTAGAACTTAGTGCTAGCAGATTTCGTAACAGAAACCAGAGTCTATTACTTATGTTTTATTTTCGAAAGTCTTTTTAGTTAGTTAGTGGTGGTATCTATGTCCAAGGGAAGAATCAGCATTTGAAGATACATCAAAGGGCAAAAAGGTAAAATCACACTTCAACTAGGGTTCAAAATAATGCATTGTCATTTTAGGGGCACAAGCATACATGTTTTGATTCATGAAAAAGGTGTTTTGAATGCATGAAATTGTTTTGGGTAAATTACCATAACCTCCCGTGTGGTTTAGGCCTATCACATTAAACTTCTGAATTTTTTTTGGCCGACCTCCCTTAAATTTTGGACAATCTCAAATTCCCCCAGCGTTTGACCTGTTAAATATTTTTTCATCAGTTGACAAAAATACCCTTCATGAAAACAAAATGATTCAAATACCCTTACTAATCATCTCTAAAATGATCATCATACCCACAACCACTCCACTTAATTCTTCCTACTTTTCTCACGCTCTCTCTCTTCTCTAGAAACCATTTGGACCTGTTTTTGTCATCTCTCTACTATCTATCTCCAGCATCCCTTTGAACAGGATCTGCAATTGGTTTTAATCTTCCCAAATTCCTCTAATTACACCATCTGCATGTATAGATATAATATATATGCCAAAAATGGGTTTTGTTAGAGTGCTAACATATATATATTTACACACACACACACAGTGCGTCTGTATGAATAGTTTTGGTTAAAAAATACTCTGCAATATGTTTGGAAGGCGTAAGATTTTGATACAATGATCTCGAAGCATGTTGGTATTGAACTTTGAAGTCACCATCTTCAGCTCTGCCAAAAGCACGGGTATACAGTGGAGTGTTGGTGCCCGCAGTTATGGTGGACAGAGAATGCTGAAGATGGTAGTTGATTAATTGACCTCTTTGGATGTTGATTTGGTGGTGGTGGTGGTGAAAATTTTGCCTCCTGTAAATTTATTGCTTACAGAGTTTAGGGTTTCTGCAATTTTTCATTTTGTTTTTGAAGAGTACCAGAGTGAAACAGTAACAAAGGAGAGAGAGGGGGTCAAAATCAAATAAGGTACCCGTGGATGGAGGTAGAATGAGATGGCAGGCGGTGGTGGGGCTTCGGGTTGAATTGAGTGGCGGTAATTAGGGCGACAATGGTGGTGGAAGGAGATAGTGAGGGGGCAGGGGTGGAGCGACAGTTAGAGAGAGATGTGTGTGTGAGAGAGATGAAATAGAGGTGGCGGATTGAATAGCGAAACGGTGAACAAAGAGGGTTTTGGGGCTTTTAGTCTTTTTGTTATATTGATGGTTTCTTATTTTTTTTTTCCCCAAGTATGATATAGTATACAGAGGGTAAATATGTAAAGTTACATAAAACGTTTGGAGCCGTTTGACTTGCTAACTCTGGCAAAGGTGTCACTGTAATTTTTTGAAAACTTCAATTTAATGGTGATAAACCCAAAGGGCCAAACCTCAGGGGATGGCAGGGTAATTTACCCAATTTTTTTGGCATAAATATATTTAGAAAGGCAAACCCAGTGCACGAGGCTTCCGCCAAAGGCATAAATATATTTAAACAGAAAATTATAACCAAAAAGTAAGCCTTGCTCAATGTGTCAGTCAATTGACAATTTCTATCCAAGTTTTTGTTGAAGTCAAGAATGCTTGGATTGAAGTCAATCAATCGAAGCATTGCCAACGAGGTTCGATTGATTGTTTGATTGATGGACCTGTGCGTGAACTATTATGAAACTTTTGTATATTAGAATTCTAAAAGGCTTAAGTTTCCATCATTTAAGTTTCAATCGATTGAAGCTAATGAGAGATCAGATCACAGAACCATAAAATCAAAATCTAAGATCAAACAATTACAGATCATTGATGTTACCAATTAAATATCATTCAGCTGATTGATTCCATAGCATAGTAAGACATTACAGTCATCATATCAATATTACCTCGAAAAAAAAAAAAAAAAAAAAAAAAAGATTTGAATCTATCTTCTTTGTTTTGTTTTTTTTTTTTTTCGGGAAGGTAATTTGAATCTATCTATTACCTCCAATTAAGTCTTGAGTTTGAATATTTGAAATTTGGCCCCCCAAAAATTTAACAAAATCTTTTAAGTACCTCCAATTAAGTCTTGAACTTTGAATATTTCAAATCTGGCCCTAAATCAAACCCATTTGATAACAACCCACATCATATCAATAGCCTCAAACCCATAATATACCTCATGTACACGATATCAAAACTCAATATGCATCAACTAATTCTAATACATCATATACACAATATCAAAAGCTAATGTGTGTGTGTATGTCAGTATGTGTTTTTTTGTTTTATCTCTATGTTTTGCTAGTATAATATTTGTTTAATTTAATTATTTTTCTCCACATGTCTAATACATGTAAGTTTTCTTTTTTGCTATGCTAAAGTCTATTATTTGTTATTAATTTAATATTTTTCAAGAGGACAAGAGTACATTCTTTTATGTGCCTGTTCTGATTTTTTAGCTCTACTCTTGCTAGATTTGTCTTTGTGATGCTTGACTAAGGAAAAATGTCTAATTTTCTGCGACATTTCTAAATTAATAATTTACTATGTGTTCTATTATTTATTTATAAATTTCTGATGCTATGTACATGTGAACTTTTGGATTTATTTGGATATGTTTTATTTTTTGTGTCATGTCACCTTCTGTGAAATGTCGTTGGCACAACTTTGATAGTAGATATTTGATTTTTACGTTCAGTTTTTATACAAATTTATGTCATACTTGACTAGATATATGACAACTATTTTTTTATCCAACTTTGTACATATCAATGCCCAAATTAACTAGACATATTTTTGTAAGTACTTAATGAACTACGAAATCCATTTAATTTCCAAATGATCTTATTTTAGATCTTCTTTTACATTAAGAATTAAGATTTCTATAGTAAAACATATATATGTTACAATTTATAATTTTTTAAAATTTCTTTTGCACTATAAGTTCGCCCCCCAAATTTCTGGGTCCACCCGTGCTTGGAAGTTCCTGGGTTGAATGAATCGTACCGGTGGAAATGCAAAAAAGCTGTACATGTGATTGGAAAGAGAAACTAATGTGAGAGAAAGGGAAGATTGGTTGGTTCATAAAAAAGAATCTGAATTGTTTTACCTTTTCTCAAGTTCTTTCACCATTGGTATTCATCATTGTGCATGTTAGGATATTATTGAATTTGAAAACTTTAATACTCAATAAATATATTATAAAAAATGAATATTGTAGGTTAAATAGTCAGCTATATATTTTTCAGTCTTCAGTGTTTTGGACTATCAAACTACTTCAAAATATTCAGCACTCTCCTTTGGTTATGTATAAGCCTTCCAACAGAAAGACTTGTATGCTTTAAATACCTCAAGTTCATAGTTCAAAAGGGTGAATTGCCCATCATATAACTGTAGAAGTTGATCCTACTGATGGAGTGGCTTTCAATAAGGTGTCCTTGGTTGGATATGCTCAATTCAAACCAGTTTTGTAGTTAGAAAAGGAATTGGTTGTGGAATGGCTTTATCTTGATATTTTTTGTTCCCCGGCATGCCACCCCACAAGCAAGGAGCGAACTTAGATGACACGAAACAGATTATTAAGTTTACAAATTCAGCACTTAAATCCATCACTTATAAATTTCAGCATTTAATTTTCAGTTTTATCAAACACCACCTTTGTTTCTTAGCACTTAAAGCTCCTCTTGTAAGTCTATTTGTTTTGTTCAACATGCCATATTCTCTTAATCTCTACAATCTTACGCGCAGTTTTTATAATAAATGCTTCAGAAATTCTCTGCCGTATATATATTTTCTGGTAAACATAATAATAGAGTTACTCAAAAATGTTAGAATATGTAGAAAACTGGCTTACTTAAGAGTTTGTTGTTGCAGATGTTTGTTGGTGTCGCTGCATCTCGCGTGAAGGATCTCTTTGTTAGTGCTAGATCATTTGCACCTTCCATCATTTTTATTGATGAGATAGATGCTATTGGTAGCAAACGTGGTGGACCTGATATTGGTGGGGTATGTAATTGCAAATTATTCTTTCCCTCTTTACATCCTCTTATTTTTATAGGGTGAACAAGCTTTATAGTAATAATTCAAAATTTAGTATGGTGATTGTCTTCCAGCTAAATATTTGAAAAAGCTGTTTTGAAGTAACTTAAAAATAAACTTATAGTGTGTGGTTTCTTTTAATTGTTTGTTCTTTCCCTGTCTAACTAGTGTAGTAACATGCTTGGCACTTGTATGACTTTTTGCAATACGTGCTTCAGTTGAAATTATATTTTAGGGTTTGGATGATTAGGGTATGAAGAGAAAGTAAGAAAGAAGAATGATACTGGCTTCTCTGCACCAATCTATTTATGTTAGTCAAAAATATAATTTTATACACCATATGGTAATTCCCACCAATTACACCCACAAATTATTCTTGCCACACGAATATTCCCACATATTTCAAGAAGTCATTGTAAAACTTCTCCAGCCTCTTCACTACCGGAGGCTAGAAAATGGAAACAAGGACTTAAAATATGTGGGCAGGCTGGTGCTCTTGATGAGAGCCTTCTCCCCCAAGTCAGATTGGCTGTTCCATCTGTGGATCTCCTTCAAACCACTCTATCATTGTATTGAAAAAACACTGACAGCTTTGGAAGAGGAGTCCGGGGAGAGCAAATGTGAAGCTGGAAGGCTTCACAGATCAACCCACATCCCAAAATGCCTACTGAACTCTTTATCCCTCCATTTCCTCCGGTAGGGTCAATTTGCTCTTGTTCAAGTAAATCTTCAGAATTGAAACTGCCTAAAAATGCGGAATGATGCACATCAAAGCTGAACTTCTTCTGCCTCACTAGTATACAATGGTGTGTAGGGCTGTAAATGAACTGAGCTCAAACAAGTTTTCCAGGCTCGTTTCGTAAACGAACCAATCTCAAACAACTCCTCGTGTGGCTCGTCTGTTCGTGAACAAAGCTCATAAACTTGTTCGCAAACACATATAATTATACACACACACACATTGATATATACATGATAGTGAGAACTTATACATTAATATATACCTAAAAATGAGAACCTAAGGTCCATTTATATGAGGCCCATTTAAAGTGAAATATCTTAGACCAACTTAGTCCCATAAATAAATAACCCATGAGCCCATTTGTATATATGCAAAGCCCTAACATTATTCTAACCTACCTCTTCTTCCATTCCTCTTTCAAATCGCCACTTACAGCTGCTGCGTCTCTCTCTCTCTCTCTCTCTCTCACACACACACACACCCATATCATGACTCAAGAGGACTCTCTTACACACACACTTGTCTTTAATTGAAACTCAAGCAGAGATGGAAAGCAGGGACATCACTTTGAAGATATGAGAGAAGATTAAAGTGAAGATAAGTTATGAATCTGTAATGTTTTGTATATAATTTTTTTGGAAGATCTCTATAATATACTTCTTTTTTCCTGAATACATCTATCTAACTTGTATTTATATATATATATATATATATATATGATTCTCGTGTGATCTATTTCTGTGTTAATTAATATATGTATATACATATATATATATATATATATATATATGATGTGTAATAATTGTTTTTGACTATTTGTTAATGAGCTTTGAGCTTGGCTCGAATGTGTTGTGAACGTTTTTGAGCCGAGCTAGAACATTGAGGTGAGAGCTCGGCTCGAGCTTGAGCCGAGCTCAAACACCCTGCTACAAAGCTTAGCCAAGCTCTAAAAGCCCACTTCTTGGCTTGGTTCATTTACAGCCCTAGTCACCAGCCAAAAAAAATAAAATAAAAGATAGGACATAGCTAACAAATCTACCCTAGCAAAACCCTCGAAGCAGGTAAACTTCTACAGCCACTATACAACTAAATGCCTCTGTGAATATAGTAAAAGAAAATTGAAAAAAGATAAAAGATAAAAACAGTAGGAGGTCCACCGTCTAAGATCCCTAAGCTGCTAAACCAAAGATTTACATCAATGACAACAGAAAACTTGATTGTGGAGAAGCAAAAGTTCATCCACTTTCTCCATTTCTCCCAAAGTGCAATCTTATCCTTGACCTATAGATGAACGGCCCAATGAACATGGTCATACACCTTCTCTAAGTCCAATTTAAATCCAATTTCTTTGAGAAGCTCATGTTAATGTGAAACTTCCTTATGATATCTGTGACAATTAATCCATCTTGAACTTAGAATGTACTGTATTTTCCAGCTCTAGGTAATGGTTTTGCAAATTTTAATGGACTTATCACCCTGTGATGAAGAACCGGGCTTGGCCCGAGAGCTCGAAGTCCATACGGCCCACACCTATTATTGAAGACGTGGGAAGGAAAGATAGAATTAGGGATTTTGACTTTTATTATTATTATTTGATTTTAGGATTTCTATTTATGGTAATAGTTTGATTAGGGTTTTTCTTCGATCCCTATATAATGTTGGTTAAGACATTGTGAAAGACAACTTTTGATGATAATTATTGATATTGAATTTCGAGATTATAATGATTTCTTCTCCCTCTGAACTCTTCTTCTCTTCTGAATTCTTCTTCTCTTCTAATTTCTCTTCCCTCTAGTCTTCTTCCCTTTCTCTCTCAATTTCTTTCTTATTCTACTTGAATTCTGATTTCGAATTGCTCCTACCCGCTGCTGCATCAATTGGTATCAGAGCAAAGATCCATATATTTCTCTACTGTTCATCAACAATCAACCCAGACAAAACCCTAGCTGCTGCCGCCGTCTGCAATCCAAACAAACCATCCATCACAACCATCATAGTATTTACCCACTGTTCACCTCAACCAAAACCCTGACTACTGCCACCCATAACAACAGCCATCACCTATTCAAATCGTAGCTGTCAGCCACCACCCTCCAAACCCTAGCTGCGCCACCATCTACAACGAGACCTGAGCCAATTGAATCCATAACAGTAATTGGATCCAACTCAGCCAGTAACCAAGCCAACAATCATAAGACCCAAACCTTAACAGCAAGACCCAATTGTAAAACCCATACCCATCGAGCCGACAAATCCCATCGACCCAGACCCATAGACTTCTGAAGCGAATCCAAACCCACCAGTGCAATCCACTGCCCCTCACGCCAATAATCAACAGCCTTGCTAACCAAAATATTCTCTGCACATAGCCAGAATCTGCCACAGTTGCCGGAATCTGCGACAGTTGTCTTTGTCAAAGAGCTTCTTGTTCGTTCTTGTCGTCTTCAGCCTTCACCGCAGTTGCAAATCCTCGACGGAATCTGCTACAAACATCATCACCGGAAACCATCATCGGAATCGCATTGTGTTGCCCTCGCCATCGTTAGTTTTCGTTGTCATCGCCAGAATAGTAATCTCTGGAGTAATTGCTGGTCGTCGCCGGAATAGTTGCTGGCCGTCGTCAGAGTTGATTCTGCTGTTTGTTGTTGTCATTGCTAGGTCACAGGGTCGAGCCTAATTCAATTGGGAGCTACTTTGGACTTCGAAAAAGGTACTTAATACTTCAACTAAAATGTGTTAGTACTGTTATCTATTTTGCTAGTTTAGAAATTGCAAAAGGTCCTAATTGAACCCATTTGATTCTTGAACCAAATTATTTACTTCAATTGATATTTTTTGCACAGAAACACCTATCACAGTGCATGAATTTGGCATAATCACTTTAATTGCATTAAGATTTCTTGATTGTGCATTGTGGTAGTTATAATTTGATTTTACGCATTGTGGTAGTTATAATTTGATTTTACTTGATTCAATTACAGTCAAATGTCGGCATGTCTTTCATAGCCATTGCTCTATCTTATCCCAGTACCTTAATCCACCATGAGTACTAGAGATCCATATGATGCCCAAGCTGTAATGGGCGAGAGAGTATAAAACATCGAACAAAACATGAATACTTATGTGGACTCCATAGCTCGACTCAGTGAGGAGGAGGCTACATTAACCAATTCTATACCCAACTGTAAGCGTCCAAGTGATGACCATAAGGTTGACACGTCATTTTCTCCAAAACTTGGGACATATCCTAATGGTCGTCATCATGATTATTTAGTTGAGCCTTTGAACCTTCGTCGTGGTCTTGACCATGTGCCAGAGTCATCTCAAACCCCTCAACAAAGGAATTTTTATTCTAGGGAGAGTCGAATCGAATATCCTACTAGAAGATCTCCAGTTGTCAAACCCTATCAAATCTCAGAACATGGATATTCACCCGAGTATCTACATGACCTAGATGATAGTGGACTGTTTCCAGACCTTAGGAAAAATCATATGGAAGATGAAACCTACAATAGTGATGTGTATCCCATCTATCCTTATGAGAAAGGATGATTGGACGCGAACCGGCATATTTCATACATATCTCAGGTTTGGAGAAAGAGTTTGAAAAGTAATCATAAATGGAGAAAGTTTAATAAATGCAGTGTCGAAATCAGGTGTTGCTAGAATGAAACTTCAACCTAAACCTCACCCACAACCATATAGGATGGCATGGGTTGATGGAACTTTTTTGACTGTCACAGAAAGGTGTTTAGTTCCTATTCAAATGGGAGTTTATTTTGATGACATTTGGTGTGATGTTTTACCCTTGACTGCAGCCCATGTGTTACTTGGTCTCCCATGGATTTGTGACTTGAATGTGACTCACCATAGCAAGGAGGATCATTACCAATTCAAATATAATGGCAAAACTCTCATGTTAAGGCTTGCAAAGTGACCAGAAAAGGATTCTAAAACACTACAAATTTCTTCTTCTCCACCTAATGACCACAAACTTGTGTTGGCAAAAGAAAAAAAAGTGACTCATGATGTTCCCCATATCACATATGAGGAGGTGTTGGATTCTCCGCCACCTAAATGTGTTAATGAAATTAAAAATGGGACAATTAAGGAACCTCCAACTAAATTGCCACTCATGAATATCGAGCAACACACCATTGCCTTAGCCCCAGGATCATATTCATTTGATGTCCTAAATAACCATACACAGCCTAGGGAAGATGTTGAACTGAATGAGGCAGATGATAAATTTGCACAAAATGAGATCACTCAAGATTGCATTGAAGAGATTGGTAAACTTCATGAGTCATCTACTGCCATTGTGTCAAACAAGGATGTCAAGTACAGCAGTAATTTTTGGAAGACACTTTGGATATTCTTAGGAACAAATTTGAAGTTTCTTTTTGCATCTTGTCCTTTGAATGATAGAAAAATTGAGGTTGTGAATCAAGGTCTAGGAAAGTTGGTTAGTTTTATTACTAGCATGCACCTAGACACTTGGAACTTGTTTTTACCCATCATAGAGTATGTTTATACAAGTTTAACTAATCAAAGTACTGGAAGTTGCTCTTTTGAGATTATCTACCATTCTTTACCATGCTAGTCCATTGATTATAATCCTTCGCCTCCATGTATGTATTCATTTGAGTTTCTTGATTCCTTTATTCAATTTGTTCATGATTTTCACACTGATATGCGACAAAAAATTGTCTTAAGTAAAAAGAATTATGAACTTATTGCACATGCTCATCATAGGAATCATGAGTTAATTGAAGGAGATTATGTTATAATCTGTGCACTACCTCAACCTTATCCTAAAAACTTTTTCCAAATAAAACATGCAAAAATTGTTGGAATTTTCCACATCAATAAAAAATCAGGACCTAATGCATATTTCTTTGACTGGTCATTGGATTTGAGTACTAACTCAATTTTTGATGTGGAGTATTTATTATCTGATCGAGGCACCTTTGAGCCTCCTATTTTATTGGCATGTGTTCATGCAGGTAGATTTACATTTTCCTCAGCACCGGTATTAGTTCCTCCAACTTTTCAGCTGCAATATATGGATTGGACCGAGGATATTTTTGACTATCATAGTGATGTCCCTCATCTTGGAGACATTCAGTATTACCTTGTCCGATGGAAGGGTTTTCTAGTTTCAAATATCAGATGGGGTATTGACTCATACTTTTTGGAGATATACTTATGGATTTACTCTCCGGAGGATAGTTCTTCTCAACCGGGAGGGAATGATGAAGAACCGGGCTTGGCCTGAGAGCTTGAAGTCCATACGGCCCACACCTATTATTGGAGATGTGGGAAGGAAAGATAGAATTAGGGATTTTGACTTTTATTATTATTATTTGATTTTAGGATTTCTATTTATGGTAATAGTTTGATTAGGGTTTTTCTTCGATCCCTATATAATGTTGGTTAAGACATTGTGAAAGACAGCTTTTGATGATTATTATTGGTATTGAATTTTGAGATTATAGTGATTTCTTGATTATTATTGATATTGAATTTTGAGATTATCGTGATTTCTTCTCCCTCTGAATTCTTCTTCTCTTCTGAATTCTTCTTCTCTTCCCTCTATTCTTCTTCCCTTTCTCTCTCAATTTCTTTCTTATTCTACTTGAATTTTGATTTTGAATCTCTCCTACCCGCTGCTGCATCACCCTATATGCAATTTGACAAACTACCTGCCTAAAAGCCTGATATGTGTATTTGCTTTCCATAGGGTGGTGCAGAAAGGGAACAGGGCCTACTTCAGATACTAACTGAGATGGATGGATTTAAAGTATCAACATCACAGGTATGCTTACACATTCTACATTTAGGAGGATTTCCCTGCCCAAGAAGAGGGAAAAAATTTAGATTTAAATGTCTAACTTTGGATTGTCAGGTGTTAGTTATTGGTGCGACAAACAGATTGGATATTCTTGATCCTGCTCTCTTGAGAAAGGGCCGTTTTGACAAAATTATAAGGGTTGGTTTGCCATCTAAAGATGGCAGATTGGCCATACTAAAGGTATGTTTCATTGATATGTTTTTGGTTTTAAAATTTCTAGCCAGGCGAAGATTGTTTTGTGATATTAATGTATTATGATTCTCATTGTCTGCACTTTAGGTTCATGCTAGAAATAAATTTTTCCGTTCAGAGGAGGAGAAGGAGACTCTACTGCAAGAAATTGCAGAGCTTGCAGAAGATTTTACCGGAGCAGAACTGCAGAATATACTGTATTTACTGCCCAAAGCTTTAGTCTGTTCAATTTAACATCAAGTCAGGAGAGATAGGCTAACATTTGCTAACCTGATGACAGGAATGAAGCTGGTATTTTGACTGCGAGGAAGGATTTAGACTACATAGGACGAGATGAACTTCTTGAGGCCGTGAAGAGGGTAGGTGGCTAGAAACACCTTTTCCCTTAATTACATTTATAATGACTTCGATTTGATGCATTTTCATATTTTATAATTTCATGTTGCAGCAAAAAGGCACATTTGAAACTGGCCAAGAAGATAGTAGTGAAATCCCTGAGGAGTTGAAAGTTAGATTAGCATATCGAGAAGCAGCTGTTGCTGTTCTTGCATGCTACTTCCCAGATCCCTACCGCCCTTTCACTGAGGTCCATGGATTGATACAATATCTTCAGCATTTATGTTTTTTGCTTCCTCAAGTCATTCTATATCTAGACCCATGACGATCTCCTTCTCTTGTCTATTTTGCAGACTGATATTAATTCCATCCATAGCCAGCCAAATATGCGCTATATGGAAATATCGGGCAGGGTTTTCAAAAGGAAAGAAGATTATGTGAACTCAATAGTCTGTGCATGTGCTCGTAAGTTATGCAAATATATCTTGTTATTCAACATCATCTTAGAAGTCAAATTTGTCCTTGCTCTTTATCTAATAATTCTTGCTTCCTCGTACAATGGATGTTTCAGCTTGACTTGCTACTATTGAGTATTTGGTACTTGGTTCCTAAATCTTACCATTGATACAAGTAGACTTAGATTTCTACATAAGCAGGTTCCTATTAGTTTAGCTTTGCACTGGATGAAGTTGTAAAGATTACTTTATGGCTGCCTTTGGGTTTCACTTGATCTTTTATATTTGCAACCTAAAACAGAAACAAAGTTCTTTTTAGTAAATTTTTTTCTCTCAAGTCATTAAACTATAAAACGTAATATAAGAGAAGGTAGTGTCTGGACGAGTAGAATAAGCATGATACTGTAGCTTGATGTAATGATGTATCACAAAATTTAGCATTCATATGTGGTGTGAGAGGACAATATAACATATCCAATAGTATTATGACATACCTACCAAAAAAGGGGGGAAAAATGAAAAAAAAAAAAAATGGTATTATTCTGTCATCCCTATAAAAACTTAACCCAATAGATTATTGTCCCATTTATACGGATTGCCTAAATGAATCTTGTTTTGCTACTCCTGTCTAACTTCGTTTAATCTGCTCTTAAAGCCAATCATTCAGTTAAACCACGTGCTATCACATTTTTCCTTGCTACATTAATCCATGTTAAAAACGGCCTCCCCTTCAGTTAGGTTCCATTATTTGTTTTCATTGCATATGGCTAAAACTCATTTCATCCTCGTTGAAATACACATCAACTATCTCTTGGATGCATTCCTTTGCTTCAATCCAACACAGATGGATGCCTTCTGCTTATCTGGATCATTGCCTTGAGTTTGGTTGCAAGATTCGAGGTGTCACATAGTTTTTTTTTTAGCTAATCTGGACGGCTGCTGTTCTTGGTGTTTTTGCTACTGTTCATGTGAAGCTTCATCTTATTTGATGTGTTTGGACTGGGAAAGATTTTAGTGGTTGATTCTTGGTTTATTTATTGATTCTGGAAAAAAATTATGTGGCTCTAAGGGTGAGCTGAACAGGTCTTCTGTGTTTCCAAAATTGAATCTACACTGTTCTTTTGCTTCCGAACTTGTTCGTGGATGCTTGTAGCTTCGAGATTTTCCTTTGAGATTGCAATTCAGCTTCACTTTTGGATTTTGGTTTTAATATGGACCTGTATTTTTGCCAAGGCAGTAGGTTTTTAATCTTGTTCACATTTTTAATCTGGCGCCTCTCCTTTTCGACTCACTCCTTGTCTCTTTGGTTGTGTAGCCTTTGTTCATATCTTGAATCTTGGTTGAGACAAACTCTCTCCGCATGCTTGTAAATGTGTTTTTCTTGTATATTCTCATAATAAAAAGGGATACTGAGGTTATAGTCCTGAGTCTGGACAATAGATGTTACCTTGTTTTGAGTTTTACACTTTCTTTTCATCATCTCGTAGTTTGTTACTAGATCTCATATCTGCTTGTGAGGGGGAGCCTTCCTTATCTTCTCCTACCTTTCCATGCCATTGGATCCACCTTTTAATCCTCCTCTGCCTCCAATGCCATTGGATTCGCCTTCTAATCCGCCTTTGCTTCCAATGCTATAGTATCCACCTTCTAATCCTCCTTTTTAGGTTTATCAGCAATCTCGATCTCACCCTGTTGTTTTTTTTTTTTCCTAATTAAAAACAAACAATGCGCCCTGTTGTTTCTTATGATCCGGACACGACATCTTCATTTCCCTCCATCTTCCACTTCTGCTACTGATGATTTACCACTTGTGTTATGTTGAGGTAAACATACTTATACTAAACATCCCCTTGCTAATTTTGTGTCTTATGATCGTGTTTCCTCCTCCTTTCGCTTTTACCTTTTCCTCTGTCTTTATTCCCTCGTCTTATCAGCCTACTTTATCTATGTCATCTATAGCTGGATGGAAACATGCTATAGATGAGGAAAGATCTTTTGGCTCAACTTCCCAGTTTTGCCAAGGGAGCAACCCTGTTTTTCACCCTGAATTGGTCAAAATATGCAGAATTTCTTACTTTTCGTGGAGGATTAGATCCGATAACTGGGGTTCTGTGGCTGAGTGCTCTTCATAAGAATCAAACCTTGGTGCTTACTGGTCTTCCTTTGGGAAACGAACTGTTGGATGTCGTTGGTTTACACTGTTAAGTATCTTCCTGAATCCTGATGAGCATCTTAAGGCGCGTTTCGTTGCATATGCAAACCTATGAGATTGATAATTCAGAGACTTTTTCTCCTGTAGCCTGTCTTAACTCTAAATGGGTTCTTCTTTTTGTGGCAGTTTGTTGATCTTGGCCTTTATATCAGCTTGATATAAAGAATGGATTTCTTCATGGCGACCTTCAGGAGGAAGTTTACATGGATTAGCCTCCTAGTTATGTTGTTGCGGGTAGTGAGCACCTAGTCTGTCAACTGCGAAAGGCTCTCTATGGTCTAAAGCAGTCTCCTCGTGTCTAGTTTGATCGATTCAGTGCTGTGGTGATATTCAGTGCTGTGGTGATTAGTGTGGCTTCCAACGCTCCACTTCTGATCATTCTATCTTTGTTCGTCGCTCTTCTGCTGTACCATTGTCTTGGTTGTCTACGTTGATGATATTATCTATCTCTGGGAGTGATTCAAAGGGCATTGCAAAATTGAAATAACATTTAGGTCAACAATTTCATACTACTGACTTTTGTGCTCTTCGCTATTTTCTGAAGTTGCTCGTTCTCGTCAGGGCATCTCATTGTCTCATCCGAAATATGTTCTTGATTTTCTGGTTGAGACCACCGGTCTTTAGGTGCTCGACCTGTTGATACTGCTATGGATTCCATGGTCAAACTTGATGGTGAATGGGGAAAGTTGTTTACCGATACTGGATGATACCGACACATGGTTGGGAAATTGATGTATGTTATTGTTACTCGTCCCGACATTACTTATGCTGCTGGTGTGGTTAGTCTGTATAGGCACGCTCCTCGTCGACCTCACTTTGAGGCTGTTTGTTGCATTCTGCGTTATTTGAAGTGTGCACCTGGAAATGGCCTGTTGTATAAGCCCTCTCCCTCCTTATCCAGCAATAGTTATAGCCTCTAGGATGATAAATAAGTGGCATGCTCCAACTTGAAGTGTAATGACCCAAAATTCCCAAAACCCACGAAAAACATAATTATAAGAACTTAAATATATATACACGATACAATCTAGCCTCAAATACATCATAATAACCAAATAACCTATATACAGGCATTTCGTCGAACACCTACATACAAAACAGTGTAGTCTCCAAACAAAGCAAATCGGCAACTCCCGAATCCTTCCACTTAGCTCCTTGGTACCTGGAAAATGGTTGGTGAGACAAAGCCTAGTAAGAAAAGCCATAACAAGAGTTTCTAAGAGGTTTGATGGCGAGTAAGCTTCACACACACACACACACACACACACACATATTTCTTTGTACATCAAATACTCACTTATACGGAGCATAGATATATTTTCACCAAAATTGGAACAAGAAGCTCAAGAATTAGATGGAGAAACAACAAGATTTAAATAGACACATCAATTAGAGTAAAAACACATGCAACAACAAAAACAAATATTTTTCACGGCTCAACCAAGGAATTTAAAAGCAAAACCACTCCAAGCAACTCAAGTTATAGAGAACCCTGCCTTTTAAAGTTTCCTTTTTCTCCTTCTCCAACTTTCTCCTTTCCTTTTCTTTCTCTGTCCATTCTAAGCTTTCTGTTCATTCATCTCCCATTTTGTTTTCTTAGTTTTTCTCCAACAAGCCACAGCTAGGTGTCTCGGTTCATAAGAGATAATAGACTTCATGTTGTTTTCTATACACTAGCATACAGTTACATGTATACATGCTACGCGTCAAAAACTTAAGACGCTCAGGTGATCTGTCAAAGCTTCCAAAGAAAGCTGTTTCCTTGTTTTATATATATATATATATCTCATGGCACACATGTATGTCTCACAAGTGTAAGTGTGTTTAGACTACATGTATAAGATTTTCTAACAATCTTATGATGTGACACATGTCCACCATCAAAGAAACCCCATACTTATATTTATATTTTTATCCACCGCTAACTCATTTTTCTTATTTCCTCAAATCCCACCAACAAATCATGGACACCAAGGCCTCCACTTTAAATCGCATACTTAAATAAAATCACACAAGTGTCTCCAAAATTAAAATCAAGTGAAATCAAGCCACTAATAATGATAGAAACCTAATTAAAAATCCAGGGTGTCACATGAAGGCATTGCAAGGTTGAAGGGAAAACCAAAATGATATGGGTTGAGTGATGATTAAAGGAATATCCAGAGAAGAAGTTATGTGCTGAATCGATTTGTGTTCTTAGATTTCCTTTGGTCTTGTGTTGGGAATTTTTAGACCATTTTGAGAGTAAAAGGAACAGTAATTTGTTTATTTATTTATTATTTTTTCCTTTTTTTATGGCTAAGGACTCCTTTTCGGAGACAGCATTTTTTTTTTTTTGAATATATAAATTGTAATTACTATTGTCATAGACCTTGCAGAGAAGCATTTATGGCCAAGTGTTTATTTTTCTTTTCATCCTAATAATATTTTGTTATTTCTTGATTTTCTATGAATTATTTCCTACTTATTTCTTGATTTCTGTGTATTATTTCCTTCCTACTAACTACTGCGTTGTTTTGCACCATTGTGTTGTATTGGAGCCTACAATGTGCTTTTGAGGATAGAATTCTATATTTGGTTAATGTATCAAATGCTTGCATTTTGTATGAGATATGATTGGCGTCGAAGGCTCAAAACTTGAGGTACTCTGTCATGTGCACTTCAACTTTGAGTTGCACGCTCATGTTGAGATCTCAAACACAAGCGTTACAGTCATTTTTATGTTAACTTTTTCTAAATCAACCATAGGGAAAGTATTCGGCTAGTTACAGTACACATCTACGTAGTTCATTTCCCGTTTCTGTAATTCTTCCACTATTCAGTAATGGCTTTGTTCTGTAGCCAGAGTAATTGAGGAGGAGATGTTTGGGGTCGATAATTTGTGCTGGATATCCGCAAAGGCTACATTCGAAGCTTCAAGGCTTGCAGAGTTTTTAATTTTGCAGACAGGAATGACAGCTTTTGGGAAAGCGTATTACAGAAATCAGGGTGATCTTGTGCCTAATGTGAGTTTATGGGATGGGTTCTAAGCACCAAAATCTCATTGTTTGAGTAGTAGCTCATTGTCAGTTTTGAATCAAGATAGCATTAGAAATCATTATGCCTCTTTTGCAGCTTGCAGCCAAACTTGAAGCACTCAGAGATGAATACATGCGTTTTGCCGTGGAGAAGTGTTCATCTGTTCTGAGGGAATACCGTTCCGCTGTAGAGACTATCACAGGTTGGTTTAGTTCATTTTACTTACCTCACTGAGTCACCTAGTCATAACTTTTCTGGGTTTACCAGTCAGACCATGAAGCTTAGTAGTTATCTTAAAATGAATTGAAGTGACTACTGGGTTATAAAATAAGTCAAAATTTCATATAACAGAATCATGAGACTACATTCTTCTTCCTTCTTCTTCTAATGGTGGGCTGTCTTCATACTTCCATGTTGTGTAGATACTCTACTTGAAAATGGAGAGATTAAAGCTGATGAAATTTGGGAAATTTATAGAAGGGCTGTTCGGAACCCTCAGGTAGTTCTTGAACTTAAATATCTTAATTTTCATGGTATGTTTGGTTCTCCTGGCTTCATTGTACCTTGTTAAATATAAGTTTTTTAATTATCAGATTTTTTAATTTCCAAATTCTTATAGGAAATGATATTCATGTTTTTCTTCTAAAGGAGAAGTGGTTCATAATATATATTCTGAACTTAATAATCTTTCTATCATAATGCAATTTGGATTCTAGTAGGAGTAAATTGGACATATCTAAATATTGGGGTCTTTTGTCAATCATTGGTTTATATCATCATTGTTTGAAGCAGCTTAGTTGTTTATCACTTCATGACACTGAACCCCATAGAGTGATATTGGGTTCAAATACATAGAAGAATTTTCTATAACAAAAAGGGAAAACCCAGTGCACGAGGTTCCCGCTATTGCAGGGTCTGAGGATGGTCAGATATACGCAGCCTTACCTTAGCATGCGGGGAGGCTGTTTCCACATTTCAAACCCGTGACGTCCAGGTCAAAATGGAGCAGCCTTAACGTTGCGCGAAGGCTCACCCTAATTATCTGCAAAAAAATTAATGTTTTCACAAAGTAAAAAGAAAAATACAAGGAGAAAGAAAAGTAAAATAAAGACAATTTTTATTGATAATTTGCTATATCCCTGCTACCAACTAGTTTTACAACTCAAATGGATAGCTATGAGTTGAGAGTGTCTCAATTGAGACGGTAAGGTAACAATCAAGAACATGATGAGTATCGCAATCATAACTAACTAAGAAGAAGAGGAGGGAGGAATAGATCAGGTATGGAACATTTATTTTTTGATAAGTAATAAATAAATAAAAAGGCGTTCAAAAGGGGAATGCGTCCCTTATACAAAAGTGGAACCGGGGGCTAAGGCTCCAAAGAATCCAAAAAAATAATAAAATCATCGGAAGAGGAGCAAGAACTTCTCTTCACATAATTGAAAAGAGAACGAATAATATAAAGTTTCAGCATCGTCGTAGACGACTCATTCCCTTCGAACATTCTGCTATTTCTCTCCTTCCAGATGCACCATCAAACGCAATGTGGGACAATTCTCCGGTAATCGCGTACACCTCTTCTCACACGACACCCTCTCCAAGCATGAATCAAATCCTTAGAAGAACGTGACATTACCCAACGCATGCCAAACGACCCAAGAATAAGATTCCAATAGTCGTGCGCCACAGGGCAATGCATGAGGATATGATTAACTGACTCACCATCTTGCTTGCATAGGCAACACCAATTAATAAATTAATTGGTGTTAAAAAAATAAACAAATCACACTTCTGTGGATAATCTGATAAATTGCTACTTAAGCACATGTAGGTTGATATCATAATTTAATCATGGTTGTCATCACATCAATCATGCAACAATAATAAGCAATTTAAAGTGCAGTAATTAAAATAAGTAAGACGACGGACACCAGATTTTACGTGGAAAAACCCCCTTTCAGCGAATCAAATAACCACCGGACCTAGTCAGGCCAGTTAATCCACTATGAGGTAAGAGATGCACAACCTAAGTCTGTTCAGTACCCTTGAACTCTCTTAGTTGATCTCCAAACATAGAAAGACACGTCATTCTCATGAGTCATATACATTTAGTCCATTGGTCTTTTTTATACTCCCACGCCAACATTGGTCTTTTTTAGTAGGTTCCATTTAAACCCACCCTTTCAGAAAAATCCTTGTGAGTTATATACATTTAGTCCATGGCTGGAATCACCTTTTAAGATATTTAATTCCTTACTCCATTATTATTCTCACCACTTTTCTCCACAAGCACTTCGTCAAAGTTTGCTTTTACCATGTTTATGCTTTTGGATGTAGTTCATGGCTCCTCAATTTCTAGTTTAGTTGCTAATGCTTGTTAGTCTCTGTGCGCGCATGTGCGCATGCACACCACCACAGGAGTGCGTGCATGTGTGATCTTGCTTGTTACCTTCTCATGATACCAAAATTACAGAAAAGTGATAATTTTAGACTATTGTGTGCGCCAACATGGTAATTAAATAGGGGAATTATTTTGTAGTATTAAATTATGTAGAAGTACAGATTGAAAACCATCAAATTTCTTCTGGAAGGTAGAAAGACATGGTTTTTGATTTCTTAGATTTTGTACCATCTAATATGAACCTTACACAATTGCTAACAGTTTGTGGAGTTAGTGGGAATGTTCCAGTGGAGAGGGAGGAGAGAGGGATTCAAAGTCCCTCGACTCTTGTTACCTATGAAAGGAGGAGGGGTCTAGGGAGAGGTCCAGTGGGAGGAGGGGTGAGGTGGTCAATTCTACTGTTTCCCTATAAGGCTACAAATTCTTTCATGGAATGTCCGGGGTCTCAACGACCCGGCTAGAAGGAAAGTGGTGAAATCGGTGATTCGGAAAGTGGGTGGTGATTTAGTATGTCTTCAAGAAACCAAGATTGCCTCTATGACGGATGTGATTGTTCGAGGTTTTTGGGGTGGGAGATTCGTGGAGTGGTTTGCTTTGGATGCGATTGGCTCTTCGGGTGGTATTCTGATCATGTGGGATGTACGTTGGATCTCTTTGTTGGACTCTCAGGTTGGGCGTTTCTCGGCATCCTGTGTTCTATCCATGGTGGAGGATGGCTTTCGTTGGGTTTTTTCTGGAGTGTATGGGCCTACGGAGGATTGTGATTGCCATTTGTTCCTGGAGGAGTTGGGGGAGATCTGTAAGCGATGGTCGTTGCCTTGGTGTATAGGGGGGGATTTCAATGTTGTTCGTTCCCCTTTTGAGAGGTCGACAGGGGGCAGATGGACAGCTGATATGATGGCTTTCTTAGAGTTTATTAATGGTTTCTGTTTGCTTGATTTGCCTTTGGTGGGTGAGCCTTTCACCTGGTCCAGTGGACGCTCTCCTCCCACTTTCTCTCGTCTTGACAGATTCTTGGTGTCGAGTGATTGGGAGGAAAAGTTTTCTGATGTTGTTCAGGCCACCCTGGCTCGTCCTTTGTTTGATCATGTTCCATTGTTGCTAGACTGTGGCGGGCTGCGCAGCAGAAGTTCCCCTTTTAGATTTGAGAATATGTGGCTCCGAGCTGAAGGCTTTTTGGAGCGAGTTCGATCCTGGTGGGCAGGGTATGGAGTGGTTGGCACTCCGAGTCATTCTTTGGCAGGCAAGTTGCGTTTTTTGAAGAATGATCTCAAAGTCTGGAACAAAGAGGTTTTTGGTAATTTGGCTTGGAGAAAGAACCGGGTTCTCTCTGAGATTGCTGACATTGATAAGATGGAGAATCAGGGTCTTTTGATGGGTCCTTTGAAGCTCAGGAGGGTGGAGTGTCAAGCAGAGTTTGCTGAGATTGCTGTCATGGAGGAGATTTCATGGAGACAGAAATCTAGACCTTTGTGGCTCAAGGAAGGAGACAATAACACTAAATTCTTTCATAGGCTCGCCAATGCTCACAGAAGGGGCAACCACATTGGGAGGATAAGGGTGGATGGGGTGTTGATTAGTAAAGAGGAGGAGATATGTAAGAGTTTTTCTGAGTACTTTTCGAGGTTGTTCACTGAGTCAGCCGATTGGCGCCCTTTGCTGGATGGGCTTCAATTTGATTCTATTTCAGGTGAGGAGTGCTCTATTTTAGAGGAGCCTTTTTCTGAAGAGGAAGTTCTCTCTGCTCTGAAGAGCTATAATGGGAATAAAGCTCCTGAACCTGATGGTTTTTCTATGAGGTTCCTTTTGGAGTGTTGGGAGGTGGTCCGTGAGGAGGTGATGGCCTCTTTTCATGCCTTCCATGTGCAGGGCTCTTTTGAGAAATGTTTAAATGCAACTTTTATTGCCCTTATTCCAAAGAAGGGAGAGGCAATGGATGTTAGAGACTTTCGCCCTATCAGTTTGGTGGGATGTTTTTACAAGTTGATTGCGAAAGTTTTGGCCTCTAGGTTGAAGAAGGTGATGGATGGTGTCATTTCTGACTCTCAGAATGCTTTTGTGGGAGGTCGGCAGATTCTGGATTCAGTTCTTATTGCTAGTGAATGTGTTGATTCCCGCTTGAGCAGTGGTGTTCCGGGTGTTCTTTGCAAGCTAGATATTGAAAAGGCATACGATCATGTGAGCTGGAGTTTCGTTCTCTATCTGTTAGAGAGGATGGGTTTTGGTGGGCGGTGGAGGAGATGGATTCTTTTCTGCATTTCTAGCGCTCGTTTCTCTGTCCTTGTGAATGGAGCGCCAACGGGTTTTTTCTCTAGCTCGAGGGGCTTGAGACAAGGGGATCCGCTTTCCCCTTTCCTGTTCCTTTTTGTGATGGAGGCTCTTAGTAGATTGCTGAAGAGGGCTGTGGAGCTGGGTTTTTTTGAGTGGATTTCGGCTGTGGAGAAGAGTTCAAGTTTCACTTGGTTCGGTGGGATCAAGTGTGTCGTCCAATTCGGTTTGGAGGCTTAGGGTTAAGGAGGTTGTTGCCTTTTAATAAGGCTCTCATTGGTAAATGGCTCTGTAGGTTTGGAATCGAGAGGCATTGGTTATGGAGGAGAGTTATTGCTAGCAAGTTTGGGGAAGGTCGTGGGGGGTGGTGCTCTCGGGCGATGCGTTGTCCAAGGGGGGTGGGAGTATGGAACTTCATTCGAAGGGGTTGGGGTTGGGATGACTTCTGTAAGCATGTTCGTTTTCGCATTAAAGATGGAAGGAGGATCAGTTTTTGGAAGGATCTCTGGTGTGGGGAGCTCCCTCTTGCTCTCGCTTTCCTACGGCTCTATAGGATTGCTTCTCACCGACAGGCCATGGTTGTTGACTGTTATCATCTTGATAACGGGAGACTGACGTGGGATGTTCAGTTCAGCAGGCATTTTCAGGATTGGGAGATCGAGGATGTTTCTCGTTTTCTGGAGCTTTTGTATAGCCAGGTGATTTCTTTTAGGGAGCCAGATGGGTGGCTATGGATTCCTAACTCGCAAGGCCGGTTTGAGGTTAGGTCTTTTTTTAGATGTCTTTCGGATGGTCAAGGTGAACTCTTCCCCTGGAAGTCTATTTGGCGTTCTAAGGCTCCCCGCAAGGTCGCCTTTTTTGCTTGGACCTCTGTCCTGAGTAAGATTTTAACTCCTGATAATTTGAGGAGGAGGAATCAGGTGGTGGTCAATCATTGTTATATGTGCTTGTATAATGAGGAATCAGTTGATCACCTCCTTTTACATTGTAGTATGGCCAGAGACTGCTGGGATTTGATGCTTCGTTTATTTGGGGTCCATTGGGCCATGCCCAATTCCTCTAGAGGGTTGATTGAAGCTTGGAGAGACGTCTCTGTTGGGGTTGGTGTTAAGGATGCTTGGAGGGCTACGCCGCTTTGTATCTGGTGGTGTATTTGGCTCGAGAGAAATAGGAGATATTTTGACGGAAAAAAGAAGCCTATTTATATGCTTAAGTTCTCTGCTACTTCTACTCTTTTTTGTTGGGTTTCAAGGAGTGATTATAGATCTATGGAGGAAATCATTGTTTTCTTGGCCTTTCTGAAGGTCTAAGGTGCCTTTTGGCCCTTTTTGTTTTCTTTGGGCTTCACTCCCCTTTTGAGCGCTTTTAATAAATTCTTACCTATCAAAAAAAAAAAAAAAACAGTTTGTGGAGTTAGTGGTTAAGAATTTTAAGACACTAAGTTTTTGTTTTTACCCAATAATATCACAGTTTTAGATAGTGAAAATTTTATGTTATATTACATGATGAGAACTTGGGTACTCTATTCTGATGCTCGTTATTCAGTCTGCTGTGAGTCCAGTTGATGAATATGCTGCTCTAATATATGCTGGAAGATGGGGAATCCATGGCATTTCACTTCCAGGAAGGGTGACTTTTGCCCCTGGAAATGTTGGATTTTCAACTTTTGGTGCACCTCGTCCCATGCAGGTAAGTGAAAGTACAATACTTGGTATTCCCATGCCACTGATTTGTTTCATAATGACCAATGCTGGTATTTTTCATTTCCATTTGCAGACCCAAATCATTAGTGATGAAACTTGGAAGCTAGTTGATAATATTTGGGATAAAAGGGTTAATGAAATTAAAGCTGAAGCCTCCATGGAGATTGAAGAAGACCAGGAGAAGCCACAGCTTTTGATGGCCAGTCATTTCCTATGACATTCAGCATACATATTCTCATCGGTGTGTTTGCAATTTCTTATGTTCCGAATAGTACTTCCTGTTGAGTAGTTATGGGACATCTTCATATAGTTGCCTAAATCGACGTAGGATCAAGGGACCCAAAAATTTCGGTTGTAGGAGCCAAATTAGTAGTATGAACATAAATTTAAAAAACTTATTGTGTATGTTTTTCTTGACAATGGAATTTTGGAAAGTAAATCTATGAAGGCCAGTTATAAATTGAGAGTATTTCATAAATCACAAAGTTCATAAAATGAGAAAAATAATAGATACAGGAGCTATATTTGGAATTTTTGCACTTCTCTGTAAATGTGGACCTCCAAAAATAAGACCTAAAATGAATATTCAGTTGAGATTATATATTTATGTATATATGTATATAATTGACTGGGCAACATGTTAAATCTCATTAGTATTTGAAATTCTCTTAGGTAACCTGTATTTTAGGGATTTTACCAAATTTTGGGTGGGCCATAGTCCCCACAAAGTTCTGCCCCTGCCTAGCATAAGGCCGAATACACCAGCCCACTTAAACACCATATAGTCGCCATGATCTCTATGGAGGTGAAAGAGCCTCAAGCAGGATTGATTGACAGCCTTTTTTTTTCTCTGGCAAGAAACTCACACCCATTTTTACCTCTTAGGGGACTCGAACCCTCTCCTCTCATCACATGAGAGGTAAATGAGATACCACTAGGCTACAACCTTTAGTGGTGACAATGCCAATGGCATAGTAATGAGAAACGCGTCTAGACACAAGAAAAGCACAAGGTCCAGTCAAACACACACCAAAGGGCTGCTTCTACATCTTGCTAGGCTCCTTCTGTAGTGCATGAGTGTGAAATTTAGTCAGCGAAGGCACCAGAAAAGCAAGCCTTTGAGAAATCCTTTTCTTTTTCTACTTTTTTTTGTCTTCCTTTATTTATATATATATATATATCAATTTTTTTTTTTTTTTTTTTTTTTTTTTTTAAAAAATAGTTTTGATTCATATGATTGCATTTCAAGCACTTCAAGTCATAAAATGAAAAAAGATACTGTTGCCCTTGGTGAAAAGATAGTTATTAACTTTTATAAAACATGGGGTGACCTTTGCTCAGGCTAGCACCTAGTCTTGAGGCTTGCTCCTAATGTTCACCAGACTTCATGCACTGGTACACCTTGAGCCACAGTACCTGAAGATGCGGCATAGAAAATTCAAATTATTGTCTGTCATGGCACCAACCTATAACTAAGCATGAAAAAGTTAAAATGTCTTTCCTTTTTATGTTCCTTTTTCTTAATGATCTCCATTTCTCACTCTTATGTTAGACCATTTGCAGGCTGCACTCGCAAGTGTTCGAATCATTAGATATACAAAGAAACACATTTTGTTCAAGTGAAAAAGGGAGGTTTCTACTGTCTCGGGTAGTAGTTCTGCATTCATTTATTGAGATCCGTTTGGATCTGTACCAGGCTATAGTTCTCTGATTGCAAAGCATAAACTGGTGTATCTGAAGGCTCAGCTGAAGGGGGCTTAGAAAGTGTTTAATTCCAATGAAGATTTTACATGTTCCTGTGATTGGTGTGACGCTTTCTGCTCTTGCAGTCTTCCAGGTCTTAAATCATCAATTGTGATAATTTAAATCTGAGAAGTCACCAGTGGACCACCCTTTCACAAAGATACAAACTGCTATAAGTAATGGTAGCACCGATGGATTGATGTGATTAATAAGAATGTTACGTAGCAGCTCACAGCCTGCGTTGCATAGGTGAGAGGGATTACAAGAACAATGTAAGTACTCATTTTTGTTCAAAATAGTTGCTACTTTCAACTAATCTTGTGTCGAAGATGACAAAAATTGATTTGACTGACCTCGAGCAGTTTGGGAAATTATTTTTTGACTGATTTATGAGCCAGAGTATATTTATGACTCAGACTGCATCAGCAAGCTTCTATATCATATTGTTATTTTCATTACATTCTAGCTTAAAAGCGTGCATAACACCAGCCATTGACGAACTAACAGAAATCGGTGTTTGAACTCCAGTGCAGCCACGGTGAACTCGAACTTTCTGTTGCCCACTGTAGTAACCCATGGAGGGATAATGATCTGAGATGTCATTACTTGCACCAAGGATGCCATTGTTTTCTCACACTTAAATTATATGTTCGTGTAAAAATATTATATATATATATATATATATATATATATATAAGATTGGTTCCATTTATATTATGCAGTAAGTGTACAATTTGAAGGTAGTTAAGAAACTACTTTGTTATTATTGTTTGCAATATTCAATGAGAATGGGTGCAATGGTTTTATTAAACTAGAGGCAATTTTATAGTAGGTTAGCCCAGTGCACGAAGTTCCCGCTGTTGCAAGTTTTGGAGAGGGTTAGATATATATGTAGCGTTACCTCCGCGTTGAGAAGTGGTTTTTGGTCTCGAACCGGCTCAAGAGCTTGAGGATTTTATCAATCAGTTCATATGGTTGTTGATCTGTGCTTGTGTGTCATGTGATTGGTCCGGGACCTTTTTTTTTTATTTTGTTCCTTCATGTAATATAAAGAAAGGCATGAGATCCACTAGGGACATGATTAATAGAATAATTGAGAGCACGAGGAAGTCCAATATTTCAAGCTAAAAGCAAAAAGAACGTGCCATTAATGAGACACACACACACACACACACACACACACACACACACATCAAATTATGTTATTTTCTGAACACATATTAAGATCCATTATTAAGCTCCATTACAATAATCATGTAAAATGGCAACATTTACATGAACCGAAAAGCTATTAAAATTCATTCTGCTACCAGTCAACCTCTATGAAGAAGGGGCAATTTTAAGCATAGCTTGTGCGTGAATAGCTGGCAAATTAGTCTGGCAAAAGCTCTGCCATGAGTCCTGCTTCTCTTCATTTTCAGTGACGGATTCATACATTCGTATCACGATACTTCGAGCTGCTTCTCTTGCTTCCGGCAGCCTGTCGCTTAACGAATCCGCAGCCATTTGGATCAATGAAGCCAACCCAAATTCTTTCATTCCTTCTGTCCCCTAAAAACAAATGAAGAAATTCACCCACATTAGGATCAAACATTACATCATTCAGATGTTTCAACCTCAAAATGGCACAACATTTTTTTTTTTAACCACGGGAACTTGAACCTAATCTTCCACTTAAGAAGGCGAGGAAGTATCACAGTGAAGTATTTTTAACCAAAGTAAAGTTTGGATGACAAAAGAAAGGAGAGTACTGGAACCTAAACTTATACTTTAAAAGGCAAGGAAATATCACAGTAAAGTTTTTTTAACCATAGTAAAGTTTGGACTGCTGGAGAAAGGAGTGTACTGGAGAGGATTTTGATTCTTTATATTTCGGACTTTTTGTTAACTCAGTTAGGTTTCAATTCTTCTCCGGGAGAACCGGCCCGGGTCCAGAATCTCGAAACACAGCCGTGATGGGCCATTGATTCGAGTCCGGCCCGGCTTATTGACTGAATAAAGCCCAACATGTCCATATTAAGTAAGTTGATACTAGTATTTTTACCATATGAGAGACACAGTGTGAGATGGAGACAGCAGCTTTGGCCCTGATTCTGGGGTTGGCGTGGCTAACATGCGCCCGGAGCTTATGGAGCAAAGGGAGAGGCGCGATGGACCCAACCATGGCCTTCAGTGCTCTGTCTGCTTCTTCACACACAAACTTCTTATCCTGTGAAGCTTTCAGCAGCAGCTGCACCAGCTGTGGACCCACCATACAAACCATTCATCACAAAACAAGCAACATATTTACTAAAATTTCCAAATTTATCATCACCATATATATATATATATATATATATATATATATATATATTAAGGGGTCACTATAATTCGGCCTATGTTTCTTTGTCATGTAAAAACTTTGTCATGACAACAAGTCTAAAAAATTGGATTGGGTCTGCCTCAAATCTTTCCTCCCAACACCAGCATAATGTACATTTCATATATACAAGGACTATAAAATATAACAATATATATATGTATGTATGTATGTATTTATGTTGTGGGTCCATACCAAGTGGTCAAATGCATCAGAGGTGGACTCTACCAATTTGTCACCAAAGGCATTGAAGAAATCATATGAAGCCATGATAGAGGTCTTGCACAGAGCACTTCTTGGATTCTTCATTGACTTCACCAGAATCAACACAACTTTTTCCCTGTAGACATCACCACATTTTATCACACCTCATTTTCTCAATTCATGGTATATATATATATATTTTAACTCAGGAATAAATTAAACAGAAAAAAAAAAAAAAAGAATCTTACAAATTGGGGAGCAAGAGAGTGGAGTGATAGAGTGCAAAGCGCCTAGCATTGTTCAGTGACTCACATATCATCAACCAATCCTTTGATTCTAAAGCTTCAACTAGGCTCTGTAATTTCAGGATAAAGAAATTAAATAAAAACCACAAATGGGTTTTCTCTGTAACATCTTATAAGTCCAAAAAAAGTAAAAACACAACATATGATATGATATATATATATATAGAGAGAGAGAGAGGGGTTACTTGGATCTTGATTTCTGGATCAGGTAAGGGTTTGAGGTTCTCAGAGGAGATGTAATCAATGGATGCATCTGCAGTTGGTGGCGGCGGCAATGGAGCCCTATTTTCGTCATTTACAGCGGGATCAGATTGTTTTTGGATTGAAATTGCAACTTTTGATTGCTTTTTGGGCCTTTCTGGTGTTATGGGTAGAGCGTTATCAAGGGATCTCAGGGCCATTTCTTAGAGAGAGAAACAGAGAGAGAGAGAGAGATGGTGTGGAAGATTTTGATTGAAAGGGGGGAGTAGGGTTTTGGCAATGAGAGGGAGTAATGTTTTTCTTCGTTCAGTTGGGAGGTAAATATTTCTTTGCGGTTCCTTTGAAATTTAAATTTTGAAAAAAAATACAGAAGGGAAAAAGTTGAAACTGGAACGTTGGACTTTGCTGCAACGGTCACTTTTTGGGAGTGGATTTTCTGCGGCTGAAATCTCTGCAGTCGCTACATTTACATCGGCAACACACGTGTCTCCAATAAACAGAGTGGCTCAAGTTGTACGCAGTTAGTTCTCTTCCCGTACTAGTATTATGTCTCTGATAAACAAAATAATGAAGTTTGTCATATTTACAATTATATATAAGTTAGGTATTTTTTTAACAATGACACCCCTATCACAAATTAAATCCAAGTAGCCCCTTAAAAGATGTAAAAAGTCAAGATTACCTTTCAATATTTTATTAATTTAAATGGTTAAATATTAAAAATTCTAAATGACGTTTTTACCCTTGACACTCTCACCTCTCAACTTTTCCATCACAAAACCAAACCAACCTCTCTTTATTTTCTCTCTCTAACTGTAATGGATAGTATATATATATATATTCGGTGCCAGAACAATCCACTCGCGGGTAAGGAGGTTTCACTAAGAAAAAGAACTGGGACAACAGATCAAGCATCAAGGTTTTTTCCCTGTATCACCATAGACAAACATCGACCACCACCACCACAGCCGCTGGTTCTCACCTCCACGGTCCACCACAAAAGAAAAAATAGAGGCAACGAATAACAGCCATGGCCTCTCAAACCCTAACCCTAATCAAGCAACCACCAAACCCACGGCCTCTCCCTCAAACCCACCACCAAATCCCTAGACCTCTCTACCCCTTAATCCCTTATCGTCGTTGCCTCCATCACCACCAAGAAAGCCGTCGCCGTTGAACCCTCGGATCTGGCCGCAGCATCGACGTTGGGCACATCCCTGTGATGACCAAGTGCTTCTTTGGATCCTTCTCGAGCTTGGGGGTAAAGGATGTGGTGGAGTCAGCGCCGTCGCTACCGTTGCCGCTGCCGTGGCCACTGTTTCGATCTTGGAGGTGTATATATATAAATATATGTATGTATGTATCTTGAAGATTTAGGTTTTTTAAAGTGATGGTATATATTTATGTGTGTGTGTTGAAGATTCGGGTTTTGGACCACTGGTGGTGATTTGGGTGTGAGGGCTTCACGGTGGTGGAGTCGGTGCCGACGGCAGTGGCCACCATTATATGTATGTATGTTGAAGGTTTGGGATATATATATATGTGTGTGTGTTTGTGTTGAATATTCCGGTTTTGATCAATTGAAGTGGTGATTTTAGGTGAGAGAGCTTCATGGTGGTGATAGATAGCACTGTATGACTGGTAACAGATGGTATTGGGATTGGATTTTTTATTTTTATAAATATTATACAAGGGTAGCCAGGTAATTTCATTATTTAAATTTGTCAATTTAAAAGTCAAAGGACAACAATGTCAATTCATAGGTGGCAAGTGACCATTGGGGTGTATTTGTTAACTTTTTCAAACTTAAGGGGTGTTATTGTTCAAAAAAGGCCTAACTTATATATGACTGTCAATACGATAAACCTCAGGGGGTGTCATTGTAATTAACCCTAAACAAATCAATAAGTAAAACAATGTTATGCTCCGACCAATAATAAGTCATTATTTTTTTTATAAAAAAAAGTATTCAGTACTATATACAGTAGTCATTTTATTTTTCTTCCGACATAATCAATATTTTGCCCAATAAACACCGGACCCAAGCTTCCCTTACTGTCTCACGATGAGTTTGAAGTGGTCGATATTTGGCCACGTTCTTCTTCATTTAACATACAATGAGATAGCGTTTGGATGCAGCAATTACAAAAAAGTGAAAACCATCTTCACTCTTAACATAAGATATGTACATAATGCAGACTAAATAATGTCACACATAAACGTAACTCAATTCAATATATCATTTATGTTATTATTTGAAATTAAAGTATTTTAAAAACACTTTAACTTGTTAATTTAAAGAATTTAAATAAATTAAAGTCATTTGGATTAACTATAAACAACAAACAAAACACTTGATGTTTCCAAAAATAATAAAAAGAGTCACATCTTTTTTTTTTTTTTTTTCAAATACTAAAAAAACATATACTTAGGTATAAATTATTTAACATATCTTTGAAAAATATTTGACAAAGTTTAATATTAATTATCACACTCACCACCTTCACTATCAAAAAAAGGTATTCACATAGTGTTGAATAACTAATAGTCACACATAAATCTAATTCATTTCAAAATATTATTTATATACTTTTTAAGTTAAATTTTATCATAAAAAAATAGAACATAAAAAAAATAGTTACATGTTAATTTAAAGAGGATTTTGAAGGGGATTATTAGGTATTTGGCTATCAACAACTTTCACTTTTTAATTGGTGATGTTACCCTCTTGTAAATGGTGATGTTACTTTTTAAACTCTTATGAACTTATAAATGGTAGTAAAAAAGAGCTTACTAAAAGATCTGTATGACATTTTATTTTTTTGTAATTGCCAAATGCGGTCTCAAAAATTGTTAAATGAAGAAGAATGTGACCAAATATAGACCACTTAAAACTCACCGCATCGAACAATAAGAGAAGCTCACTTCAGAGGATTCGCGCTTATAAACACCTCACCTCCTAAAACGACTCAACTATGGTCGAGATTTATTTATGCAGATTCAAAAATGATCGAATGGTTATAATTAAATCAGTTTGAAAAGTCAACTGTAGTATTCTAACTTTTTTTTTTTTTTTTTACATATATATTTGAGGGCTGTTCACCTACTCACTGGTGTGCAAGGAATTTATACACGAATTAAATCATTACCGTTGGATATAAAAACATAAACTACCTTTTTAACTACCAAATAGAATTTAACGGTTATTACTTCGGGTGTGCATGCATTTTCTTGTACACCAGGGAGCAAGAGAATAATTTTGATATATATATATATATATATATATATATATATATATATATATATAATATTTATATCTTGACAAGAATCATGTACCATGAACATCAACCCTTGATCTTTTATTTCAGAATTTGAGAAAATACCACCCAACTAGAACATTTAATTATGATATTTTATTTTTTTTGACTTGCAGTTTTAGCAAGGGATATAAAAGATGAGGGAAAGAGAAAAAAAAACACTTCCCTTATTTCCCCTATCTTGGTAAAATAAATTAGTTTCTTGTTTAAATAATAGAAACAAATTATTTTTACCATACAAATTATTGTATTACATATATAAATTGCTATTATAAGTACGTGTTTATTGTCATAAATTTTTTTTTTAAAAGTTATTTATTACCATAAATTTACATGGTATATGATTGTGTATTGTTTTTTAATAATGGAAATTATGGCTTGAAATGGATGTCTTTTAATTTATTAAAAGGTTAGTTACATTCAATTATGGGAAATAGTGATATTTCAGACATAGACTACTATAATACATTATGGTACTAAATTTGAGGCCCTTTCAAATTGGTGGCCCTAGGCAACCAAGTGGTTGCCTTGCCCTAAGACCGGTCCTGCAGGGGACACTAGACAAGTAACAATATCATACATGATAGTAGATTGTTAAACAATGAAATTCCAACCACTATTTCCCGTCAACTTGCTGAGGATAAAGATGTTGTCATTATATTCACGAGGATAAATGAAATCGGTTATTGATGATAGAGCAAATCTCAACCATCGACATCTGCTCAATGAACTCCATTAATGATGAAGGAGATATCAACCATCGACATCGGTTGAGCCAACTTGATTCCAATCGATAGTCATAAATAGGGCATCGGGCCATTAAAGAAGGTATGGGAAAAACCCTCTCATTTGACGACAATTTTATTCTCTCTCCTAAACCCCCACTAACTTGATCGTTGGAGGGTCTTCGGCCGGCACCACACCGGTGCCCGACTTAGCCGTCTTTGTTTTGTAGGAAACAGTGTCATACCGGGCCGTGTGGATTTTTTCCCCAACAGCTGGCGCCGTCTGTGGGAACGATGATTCCCTTAAATCAATAAGTTGCTCGGTTGGGTATATGCGTTTATGGTTCGGTATGATTACTAGAGAAGAAACATCGTTGCAGGGATCTGGTCAAAGAGAAGGGTTGGGTGAACACCCAGACGTCCCAAACGACCAGGAACGGCTTGTAGCGTTGGAACTGCAGGTCCAAACTCTGAATCAGGGTATATACCAGTTGATTCAACAAAATGTAGTGGTCTTGCAACATCTTGTCCCAGCGGGTCCACCGGTTCAGTAGAATTTCCCATGACAAGATCTCCCAAACCCAAATAATGGGAATGGAAACCTTGAGGAGCGGGATAACAATCCTCCCCAAAATGAGACCAAAGTGGAGCAAAGCCAGGTTAGGAACCAATATAAAGAGGTGGCTCATCCATCTCTTCCACGGAGTCCCCGACCTCATGGAGACACAACAGTCAATGAAAAGACGGAGGAGGTTACCCATTTTAACCCACAGATCCAAGATCTCAAGGCGAAAATGGAAGATGTAATGTAGGCCATGAAGAGGAAAGGTATTGCGGCTATAGATGACCTAGTGCAGAGGACTAACTTACCGTTCAACCCCACCATTATGAAATGCCCTGTGCTTAGCAAGTTTAAGATGACTTCGTTTAAAAGTTTTGATGGGACCAAAGATCCCTTCGACCACCTGGAGACCTTTCATGCTCTTAGGCATTTACACGTTGTGCCGGATGAAATCATGTGTCAAGCCTTTCCTATGACCTTTAAGGGATTGGCACGCGTATGGTTCAATAAGCTGAAGCCAGGAACCATCAACACCTCCGAAGAACTAAGTAAGCAGTTTGTAAGCCACTTCATTATAGGTTAGAGGCATAGGAGGCCGGCCTCCTACCTGCTGATTAGTGTCCTCCGGTCGCGTTGCACCAAAGTTTGCAAAGAGATGAACTAAGAGTGTAAGTGTACAATGTGGCCAAGTTTTAAATTTATAAATGCCACTACTACCTCTAACTAAAAATAT